GTATTCCTTGGGGACCGATTAAGGAACATAAGGGGGGGAAGACCAAGAAGCTGACAACAGAAGGGTCTGGACAACCCCCAATGGTCCAGAGACGTATACCTCCAGAGTCATATGACGGTATGACTCCAGCCTTGTGAGTTCTACTACTTCTTACCCTTGTTTTATTGTCAGTTACAGACATACTACGCTATTTTGTATTGTATTTGTGTTTTACAGACTACTCAAGAATTTACAGCTCCACCTATTATTTTGTATGTATTTTTATGTGTTTTTAGTGGTGTAGGGGGGATCCCACTATATAGGTGTTTTAGAGCTACTATATTTTCTTTCTCCTCCTGTGTACACACTCCTTTATACCAATATATTTTAATCAATGGTTGACAATTTTGCCAGAACAATGCATACAATAAATGTATACATCAAAACATATTTTGTCGGTCAGTTAATTCAACTTTAATTTAAGTGCTTGGGTAGATTCATAAATGTAAAACCTAGTTGGCGTTTGTAAGAGAGTGAACATTTGTGTGAATAAAATCAAAGGAAATCAAGAGTAAGACTGACTACACCTATAGGTTAATAGCAATGTCTGTTAATCAGCTACTGATCAGATTGAAAGCTTAATATGGTGCTATGTAATTTGAATCTCCTTGGAGAGAACACTTAAAAAAGTCAAAATAGTTTATTAATTACTATTCGAACAGTTTACTGATCTGGGTGTAACAACGGCAACTTTACAACAAAACAGACTTGAATTTTTATTGTATTTTTTTTTAAAATCTGCTTTTTCCGACATTTTGCAATTCGGTTGTCAGTTCTCTTCTCATCTATGAACAAATATATTTTTTTTCCCCATTATTAGTTTAAATCTGACAGTTTTTGCGACCATTTTCATCTCTTTACAGCTATAGGTGACACAGGGTAATGAATAGAAAGTTTGCAATATACAACAGGTCTGTGCCAACTTAAAGGGGTACTCCTCCCCATAACCATATAGCGCACTGTTTTGGTTATGGTGCCAGAAGTCCCCTGGCATATCTCATGTAAAGCTGCCAAATCGTGTTACGGTTTGATACTTACCTGCCTGTGCAGGTGCCTTTTTGCACTGATGTGCTAATGTAAAAATGCATACTTTGTCATTAACAATAGTAACTTTGGATACTATTGAGGGTCAGCGAACTGTAGTAGTTACTGTACCTCGATTGTCAAGTAGTGTTTGGGAGCATACAGAAGCATTGCAGTATGCAATGCTACGTTTTTTTTAAATTAGATTGGGGCTCAAAATTTCAAACTGCCGGTGCGGAGTCTGATCCTCATGCTGACCAGACGTGTGCCAAGCAAGCTTACGCGTATCAACCGATTCTTGAAAGAAACCTTGGTTAACGCACAGAAACTGCAGTCAACACATGCTACCTACATCCAGGGTGCTGTGGGAAATCAATCAACTCCTTACTCAGGATCCTAAGCTTCGGGAGACTGTGGTTGTACATTGACGCCTGCACTAACTGTGCTGGAGAAAGTTGGCCGATTTCCCCACATACAAGTTTACCGTGCAGACCATTTACACTCCTAACCCCCCTTGACTGGTGGGGATTATGACCGTCTCTGCAGGTCTACACTGTTCCTCATATTCCAATAACTAGCTCCTACTACTAGTCTGAAAGCAACCAAGCTTCACGAGAAGGCAGAGAGGCCTCCTCCAACTTTGCAATACCTGACAGTAACCTGTGGTGATACACACAATTCCACCAATTCCGCTAAAGCTTGAGAAGAGATTGATGGCTTAATTGCTGCCGCCTCTGTGAATAATCAGATGATGTGAGCCTCAAGGATCAGACAGCCCCCCCCTAAAGGCGACACATGCCGACCAGTTCCTTCTGATCTCCCAGTATGCCTACCTAGACTGAGGGCCAACTGGAGCTTGACCCTACTACAAAAACCAAACTGGCAGAGAACTGCTAAAAGCAAGCGGCATCACAAGATCCGGGCTATGCGTAGTTTCCCGAGTGATGGGGACTTGTATTTTCTTAATGATACATATTCAAAGACAACATTTTTACACCTGAATAATTGCACTAACAGCTACTCAAATATCTCTCTCTCTCTATATATATGTATATACAAACACACACACACACAAAACACACACATACTTATTGTTATCTAAAGTGTTTGTAGACTGAAAAGTCAAAATGCAGATACAACAGCTTCCATTCTTTTGGGAAAGCTATCCACAAGATGTTGGGAGTGTTTATGTGGGCCTACTTATTCAGTAGAGCATTTGTGAGGTCAGGCACAGATGTTAGGAAGGCCTGGTTCACAATCTCAGTTCCAGTTCATCCCAAAGGTGTTCAATGGGTTCCATTATTCTTCACCAAATTAATCTATTTCTCTATGGACCTTGTTTTGTTCACTGGGGCACACTTATGCTGGAATAGAAAGAGGTCTTTCTCAAACTGTTCCCACAAAGTTGGAAGCATAGCATTGTCCAAAATGTCTTGGCATGCTGAAGCGTTAAAGGGACACCCAGACCACTTCTGCCCATTGGAGTGGTCTGGGTGCCAACTCCCATTACCCTTAAACCTGCAAGTGTAATTATTGCAGTTTTCATAAACTGCAATAATTACCTTGCAGGGTTAACTCCTCCTCTAGTGGCTGCCACTAGAGGGCACTCCCTGGTTTATAGTACAGATTTTCTGTGCTATAGCGTCACTGGACGTCCTCATGCTGTGTGAGGACCTCCAGCATCACTAAATTCCCAATAGGGAAGCAATGAAAGCATTATTTTAATGCTTTCCTATGAGGAGGTCTAATTAGGTCTCACCCCGCCGGTGCGCAACCGGTTTCCCCTGCCGCATGATGTCAGCGGGGGAGGAGCATGGGCAGCCCCATGGGACTCCGGTAAGTCACTGAAGGGGTTTAAACCTCTTCAGGAACCTGGGATGGGGGTGGGAGGGAGAGGGGACCTGCAGTGCCAGGAAAACGGTTTGTTTTCCTGGCACTGGAGTGTCCCTTTAAGATTTGCCATCACTGGGAATAAGGGGCCCAATCCAACTCTTGCAAAACAGCCCCATACCATTATCACTCCTCCACAAAACTTTACAGTTGGCACAATGCAGTCATACAGTTAACGTTCTCTTGGCATTTGCCAAATCCAGACTCGCTCATCAGACTGCCAGAGACGTGATTCATCACTCAACAGAACACGTTCCCAATACTCCAGAGTACAGATGTTATTTTTTTGAATATCCTATTAAACTCAAAGACCTTAGAGTGCACCCTTTTTTCTTTTTATACACTGCTCAAAAAAATAAAGGGAACACTTAAACAACACAATGTAACTCCAAGTCAATCACACTGTCCACTTAGGAAGCAGCACTGAGTGATGTCTCACTCCATCCACCAACGTCACGTTGCACCACAGACTGTCCAGGAGTTGGCAGATGCTTTAGTCCAGGTCTGGGAGGAGATCCCTCATGAGACCATCCGCCACCTCATCAGGAACATGCACAGGCATTGTAGGGAGGTCGTACAGGCACGTGGAGGCCACACACACTACTAAGCCTCATTTTGACTTGTTTTAAGGACATTACATCAAAGTTGGATCAGCCTGTAGTGTGTTTTTCCACTTTAATTTTGAGTGTGACTCCAAATCCAGACCCCCATGGGTTGAAAAATTTGATTTCCATTTTTTAATTTGTGTGTGATTTTGTTGTCAGCACATTCAACTATGTAAAGAACAAAGTGGTTCAGAAGAATATTTAATTCATTCAGATCTAGGATGTGTTATTTTTGTGTTCCATTTATTTTTTTGAGCAGTGTATATTTATATATATATATATATATATATATATATATATATATATATATATATATATATATATATACATACACACACACATATATATATATTTATTATAGACTTAGTGTTGCAGAATCATATTTCTTCTCTGGATAAAATACCCTAATTTTATCTGTTAATTTAAAACACTGGACACTTGCGGGCATACACCCAAAAGAATAAAAATTATACATATTTTCTTTAAGGGAAAAAAAACTCACATTGTTCTATGCTACACAATGTATTGACAACAGTGTGAGCAGTCTAACAATAGTAGATGAGATTCCTGTTCAATTACCTCAATCTAACTACCAGAATCAGGTAATAGGTTAACATGAATATTTTAATTTACACCCTGGTGATCAGCACTGATTGCTGGACTGTGACAGACCCCTCTCTGTACCTGTCCCAATACTGCAGCATGCCTTGTTATGTATCCTGAATATTGCACTATTATTATTATTTCCACACATTCTATCCTACATACTTCAGAAACTTTCTCACAAATAAGTTTGAAGGCAGCAGACTTGTTTGCCATTAGTGCCCTCCTCAGCCAGCCAGTCCAGCCTGTCCCAGGAGAAGGTCAGAGCCTCTCCATATAATAGTGTAATAATAATAATTCACATTATCAGCTTAACACATAGAGTGGCATGGCGCTAAGCATGCTGGGTGCAGGCCATGTGCCCAGAGATTCCCACCAATCAGAGTGAGTACCCGGTAACAGCCAGCATGTCCCTCCGCAGTGTCAGCCATGGCGACATCTTACCTGACTGCACAATGCAGCGGAGTGCTCTGAGCGCCGGCATGGTGAGTGGGCGTGGCCAGCGCCCGCGCCACGTGATCAGTGTAGCTGAGCCGTCCATTGGCCGAGGTTGACTGGCGGAAGTAAACACGTAAAGGCTAAGGACATCCTAGCAGCGTGAATGCTACTGTCACAGTACGGGTAGCGACAAGAGGCAAATTACTACAAAACTCGAAACCATGCATTCATTTTTCCTGTTCTTGTAAATGTTATGGATCCAACATGCTGTACGCTAGCACCTAATATACTGCAGAGACATAGAGGGGATAGTTTTCAAAAATGTCTGCAAAGGTTTTATTTTCCAAATTTTATTTTAAATTAAAGACAGTATGTTAAAAAAAACCCACACAAAAAAAAAAACCCACATCAAACAGTTAGGCCTTCCATAGAATACAATTAGCACAGTAAAAAAAATATATTTATTGATTCTTTAAGTTCTAAGGAATGAACTCCCTATTTGCATTTAGTAGATGGATGACCGGAAGTGGTTTACACTTAGAGTAACGGATGTATTTGATGTACCCCAGTGACGTCATTTGGAAGTTTAAAGTTGTGCCATGTTTATTGGGACAATCAAGCCCAGGGTTACTTATTAATGCGAGAATTCAAAGTGAATTTAAAATCTAAGGCAGAGTAGCCAAACGAAAAGTATTGCTAATTTACAGAATTTTTCCAGTTCAGCTATTTTGACCTTAAATTTAAAATTCACCTTGAATTCTCCCTATTGTAAATAATCATGATAGTTTGAGTCTGGGTAAAGCTAGATCACCTTCCCTACATGTAACCCAAAGACGGAAGGAACCACACTTGCCATCTATAATGATAACTTTCAAAAGAGTAATATGCCTCTAATTCATTTATGCATAATACATTTAAAATATTGGGGAAAAAGTTTTATTTTTTACCCAAATCACCATTTATTTTAGCGTTCTTGAGTTTCCAGGCAAAAGCATATTATAACCTACCATTTACCACCCTCGTTCTTGCCCATGACATCTAAGTGTGCATGCCAAGCCAGTGAGGTAGCTCAGTTGGTAAATTTCCCGACTACAAAGCCTGTTAAAAAAATGCAAGGTCACAGATTCAAATACCAGCTGGGTCAACTCAGCCCTTTATCCTTCCAAGGGCAATAAAATGAGTACCATCAATTGGGTAATAATAACATCTATTACTATTCAGCTGCCAATTTGATTAATTTTGAGAGCGTCGAGTCCCATTGGGAGAAAGGCACTATATAAAAACTAGTTAATATAGTCTATTTAAGACCCAGTGGTGTCACTTGATATTCTTTAAAATAGAACATGCACAGGAGATCATGGCTTCTCGCATATTAATCTTTGGCATTGGAGAAAATAGCAGCATTGAGCCATGACAACATACAAGCAGAGATGTCAACTATTGGGGATCTTTACAAAAAAAACTTAACTCCACCGTTGCTACTTTAAATACTAGAATTGAAATTTTTACCTGAAATTAATATTTTGTGTTTTTATTTCTCAAACTGTGTAATAGTTTGACACATCATGAGCATAATTTTTCACTTGCATCTCTTGGTCATCAACGTTCACCTCTCCCAACTGATGGGAAATGGCAAGTTCTAAAGCTGTTTGAAGCTCTGCCTTTTGTACATTTGTGTAAAATTGGCTCTTTGACTGCATTGGAATATGTGTGTGCCTCGCTGTTTGATCTACTCGTCTTAATAAGTGTGTTTCTGTCATTATAGAACAGTGATGGCAAACCTATGGCACGTGTGCCACAGGTGGCACGCCGGGCCCTCTCTGTGGGCACGCAGCCATAGGTCGCTGGGAGAGGGGGCCGCTGGCTGTCTGTAGAGTAGGCACTTGCCTGCCCGAAACGGCAGGCGCCTACTCTGCTTCTGTGTCGGGAGGAAGGGGGAGGGCTCTAGGAAGCAGCTCTCATGTCCTCCCACGCGATGCTTTGTGGAGCGTTGCCGCGCGTTACCATGGCAATGCCCCACACAGCATCGCGCGGGAGTACAGGAGAGCTGCTTCACACAAACCTACTTACCACCACCGGACCACCAGGGATAGCTGCCCCAACTCCTTCACCAAAGGTAAGAGGAAAGGGGAAATACAGAATTAATAAATATATATATTTTTTTTTAATGTACCCCTAGCCCCCATACCACACACCACACCATCCCTACCCTCACACACAATACACTGCACCCCTTAATGCAGTCTGTGTGTCTGTACCCAGCAGACAGTGTGTGTACGTGTACTCAGCAGTCTGTGTGTACTCAGCAGTCTGTCTGTATGTGTATTTAGCGGCCGGTGTGTGAATGTGTTCAGCAGTCTGTGTGTGTATGTATTGCATTTGTTGGAGATACTAATAAATATAAATAGATAAAATTAAGCTTATATCATTATTTAAAATTTGTATCATTGAACTCTGTTCTTTTAAAACAAAGCTGTTAATTAGTTCGGACAACTGTACGAGTTTTTTTTTCTAAACTTAAACCTCAGTATTCAGGTTTAATGGCACTTTGAGGGAAAAAAAGTTGGCATGTATTGCGGTGTGGGCACTCGGGCTCAGAAAGGTTCGCCATCACTGTTATAGAATATAATGATCAAAAAAAAAAAAAAATATTATTGTGCCCAGACAGGGGAGGGTTCAAATTTTTTTTTAAAACTTTTGAATATGTGGGAAGGAAACCAAGTCATATATATATATATCATATTGGCAATGTATTTAATGCTATTAACCCCTTAAGGACACATGACATGTCATGATTCCCTTTTATTCCAGAAGTTTGGTCCTTAAGGGGTTAAAGGAACATTCCAGGCTGCAAGGGACTCCAATGTTTGAAAGCATGATGCAAATTTAACCCCTTAAGGACCAAACTTCTGGAATAAAAGGGAATCATGACATGTCACGTGTCCTCAATGAGTTAAAGAATATACAAAAACATTAAAATATAAATATTTCATGTTCCATAGACTCAGGTCTCTTTCCATATTAGGTAGTAGCTTAATCAACAAGAAGCCTCATATTCTGGTTTATGGAGTCTGAACGGCTAAACATATTTAACCTAACAGTGCACGGGTTACAGTACAGATTAGGCATTAGTTTGCAAATATTACAAATGTGACATCCACCAGCATACACATTGAGACGACATGCATCTTCATTGCTATCGCATTAAATCTGCCAAACTACACACGTGTCTACTCTAAACAGTGAGTGGAGGGACGGACTAAAGTTAGAATTCAAAGCCAATTTTAATGTTAAAAAAGACAAACTAGAAAGAAAATCTCTAAGCCAGCTGTGCTTTCAGTTAAGCTACTTTACAGTTGCAAGAAAAAGTATGTGAACCCTTTGGAATGATATGGACTTCTGAGAGCTCTTTTGTGCAAGGCATCATTCACATCAGGCAATGCTTCTTGTGAAAAGCAAACCCAGAATTGGTGTGTTTTTTATAGGGCAGCTGTAACCAACACCTCCAATCTCATCTCATTGATTGGACTCCAGTTGGCTGACAGCTCACTCCAATTAGCTCTTGGAGATGTCCTTAGTCTAGGGGTTCACATACTTTTTCCACCTGCACTGTGAATGTTTACATGGTGTGTTCAATAAAAACATGGCAACATTTCATTCTTTGTGTGTTATTAGTTTAAGCAGACTGTGATTGTCTATTGTTGTGACTTAGATGATCACATCACATTTTATGACCAATTTGTGCAGAAATCCATATCATTCCAAAGGGTTCACATACTTTTTCTTGCAACTGTAAATGTAAAATTCACTTCTCACGTTAGTAAATAATCCTGTTTATTTGCACAGCATTATTATATTTCTCTAAGCAGTGGCTGTTGCTGTTATCATACATATACCTAGATACCCTTAAAAACGAAATACCAAGCACCAGATATTTGCGTTTGCATGGCCACATTTTTTTTTTTTTACTGAAAAATAAACACATATACATTCAAATACAAGTAACAAAGATCAAGACTAAAGCATTCAATTACTATATATATATATATATATATATATATATATAAAAAAAAATTAACACTGAATATTGCTAAAGTAGAACTGGAGTAATGATCAGGCCTTGCTTATACGTTAACTTTTCTAAGACATATATTAATCCTAGAATAGTGATGTGGGAAATCAATTGCTCATGTTAATTTGATGGCGTCGTAGAGAAACCCATTAAGGTGGAGAGAGTCTGTTGTGATTTATGTAATATTTAATGTTTGTCCATTTGTTTGCAACCACATATTGACCAAGCTCTGCAGAACTTGGCATGTTAATACATAATCAAAGTCCATTGTGAGCCACATCTTTAGTTCAACAGCCTTACTATAATTGAATAAGACCTTTTAGAGGGTGACTGCTGGGTGCACAACTGGTGCAATAATACACCTGTTCTAAATAGTCTGCTGTTGCAGCTTTATATATACACACACAAACATTCACAGGCATACAGTGTTTTAATAATATTTATTTTACCTTAAATTATAGGCCTCTGAATAATTCTATGAGCAAATAAAGCTAAAAATTGTAGGCTGGGTACCTCTTTAAGGTTAGGGAGCTACAAAGTAACCCATTACACCAATTACATTCTACAGGGGGTAAGTTGCACTTTCTAATATACAAGCACCTTTCCACAGACCCGACATTAAAGAGTGACCTGAGTAAGGTGGACCTTAAGCCCACAATGAAGGGCTGAATGTAGTAACATCTTCAGCTCAAAAGAAGAAACAACCTATGTTTCTCTCCTAAACTGACAGCACAGGCAACTCTTTGATTTTATCCTATTTAAATCTTTTATATATGGCACCGCTATATACATGGCTGCTATTGCCAGCAATTTATATAACATTTTCTCCAAGCCAAACTCAAAGCTGTTAGCACTTTTATGTCACCGTAGATGTTCACTGATGGTTGTAATTTACATGACTGAGATAGGTCTTCACTCTCTAAAAATCCCTCCAAGTGATTTTTTTTCCAATGTGCTGAGAAGAAATTATTAGAATCGAAGTAAAAGCTCAAATGTCATTCAAGAGGAACTGTAACATGCCAGGATTTTTAATAGTATGTTTACTTATTTCTACATCTAACAAATATGTGTTTGTGCAGTGTGAAAAACAACATTAAAATGTAGAAATCCACACTTCTATATCCTTCATCTGGGCTCCTAAATCTTGCCTCATTGTTATAAGTACCTTGCAACTAGGGGACAGCAGAAAGAATAGGATATATAAAACAATGTTTTAGATTCTTCTCATTTGCTATGTGTGCCATGGCTGTGCCAGGATTTAACTGGATTTTGATGTAATTTGCAAAATGTTTAATATAATTTCAAAAGAATATGGAGCAAAAAATAAATAAAAAAAAAATGTTAATGCAAGGTATAAATAGTTTTTAATGTTTTATTCAGTGGTATAAATTTCTGGAAAAAAAAGTGACAGATCCCCTGTAAGGAAGCTTGGGTAACTTTTTTTTTTTTTTTTTTTTAAACTAATTTTTTTAAATTGAGCTTCAATGTCAAATTAAATATACAAGACAAATGTTTGCTACTCTTTATTCCATATTTTATCTATAAGTGCCACTGGATAGGTACAGACTGTGTAAACAATATGCGGATAGCAGACTGTAATAAAACACAGTAAACAATCTAAACCGGTAAATGAACTATGGGTTAGGGGTTTTTGAATAACCCCAAAATGTAGAGAAAGTACCAGCAAAAGCAGTGGCACTAAAGAAGCGCATTTACATTTTGATATAAAATAGAACTGGTAAGGTTTTTTTTTTTTTTTAAATATATATCTGCCCTCATTCACATAATAAGCCAGATATACTTCATCTCCCAAGCATAGACTCACCCCTTATGTTATTTGCATGTGATACTATACGCTGTAGTATGTTGTATGTGATATACCGTTACATTTTACAGTGTATAGTGTAGTATATTTTCTATAATATCCTGTAGCATAATACGGACCATTCTGATATTAAAGTGGTCATTGACTACAAGATAAACATAGCAATGGGCCAGATAATACTTTATAACAATGTTACTTTAAGTGAAGCTGGGAGGCAATCTGGGTGCCAAGTGAGTTGTTTAATCAGGTTGTTAATTCACTCTAAGACAAAAGGAAGATATCTCTTATTGTAGGTTTTCCAAACAGATTGATATTGGAATGTTCCAAGCGCGCGCGGTGTCAGAGTTCACACAATAGTAACAGCATTAACCTCAATTTTTGTGACAAAACAAGGAAATCAGAACTTGAAGGCTTAACTGTAGACAGAGCTCAGAAACTATGTACAGATTGTGTGGGTGCTTCATGCCTGGGCAATCCTTTCCACAGTCCGTCTGTACTCGGCTATAAGCTGTTGATAGCTCTCCTCAAGCTGCTCATGCTGAGTATTTAGATCTATTTGGTTCATCTGGTTAGTTAGTTCTTCTGGTTGGAGACATCTCCTCATCTTGGCCAGCTCCCTTTGGTTTTTCTGTACAAAGTATAAAACAAATATATAGCACAAATGGTTAATATTCATTTGAAGCCCAAGTAAACAATACAAAGTATGGGACTATTCACTATACAATGAGCTGTACTAATTTAGCATCCAACTAGCTAAACAGAGGACACAATAACCTGAGTTTTGCTTTCTCGAGTGGTTAATTTGGCCTAAATGTTGATTGTCACATGTTAACTCTGCACAGGTTTCTGCTTGGTAACTAACTCACTAGATTTTCATCTGTAATGGTGCAACGTAACAGACATACTTTCAGAGTAAATTACAAAACAATGGCTTACATACTGACATCAAAACAAATTAGTCTAAAAGTTGAAGATTTTATTAAAAAATTTAATGGCAGCATGCATGAAACAAAAGTAACAATTGTTTTATGTAAATATATGTCAAATCTATTATTTAATTTCAACTGTAAACCGTTACGCAGCTATACGACATCTTTATGTCGTATATGCTATTATATGTTTGCCAATTCCAGCTGTAATTATAAGACGAACACGTACGTATAAGTTAATCTTAGGTGGTTCAGTAAAGTCATGTTTCCACAAAAATATTAGCATTTATACAAGCAACATAACATTATTTTATTTTTTTAAAGCAACAGCAACGTAACCAGACAGGAGGCCAGATCATTTCATATAAAAATCACAAAACCATGCCTCCAACAACATAAGGAAGGCGTTACTACATTTCATATGGGAAAACACCTTTGGGAACTATGTTGTAGTTGCCTAACATTTATTGTACATCACAGACATGACATGCTACCAAACGAAAACTTTGGAAGAGGCTTTTTTGATCTGTCTGAAAATGTATATTCTGTGGATGTATAGTACTGGCAAGGAGGAGCATCGTGTAGTAAACAAAGTTGTTTCCAAGCCTGTCTCATCTAATCTCTGAAGAGAAAGCATACACTTTAAAAAATAATAAAATAAAATAAAAGTTTGTTGAACTCTTGGGGAAAGTGAGAGATTTGTAATACATCTTCTTTGGGTCTTCTAATAAAAGAGAAAATGTTTATCTTGATTTGAAATATGCAGTTAAAGACAATCAATGCTTTAAGTCTCTGAATGTGTAAGACAAGGCATCAAAAACAGTTGGAAATAATCATGATCTCTGGTTCAATCTAATGCTTTTCCTACAGCCCAGACTTATTCTGCCTACAGCACATGCATCAACAACACACAAAGCTGTGCCTGATAACACAATGTAAAGACCCACAAAAATGGAACTCCGCCTCAATGCTTTTAAACATCAGTAAAGTAATAAACCTAGCAATTGTGCTCTTTTATATTTATAGATTAAAGCTGAATAACAGATGTGTGATGTAGGTCGTACCTTGTATGGACCAACAAGCCTTTTCTTGATATCCAATCTGTATGCCTTCGCTTTCTCAGGATCAGACAGGTCTGTTGCACGGAGTCGAAGAATTTCATATACTCGTCTTGCATGTTGCTGAAAATAATATATTGCTTTGGATTAATTCCCATGTTTAATTTCTAGTGATGTGTTACTGTAAGCATCATATGGGAAATAAATATATATAGAGAGAGAAAGTCGTTTTTTTATCTTTCTATTTAGATTAATAGTACATTTGCTTAAAAGTAATAGAATCGTGCTTTGATTTTAATTCTAGGAACTTTTCACTTTCATAACACACTGCTGGATTAGATAAGAATGAGAAATCACTACTTTAGGGAAAAAAAAAAACTGAATGTTTTTACATATTACTTATCTCTGCATTGTTATTCTCTCATTGATAAGCATGTGACAGCATTACGTTAGATTGTTAAAATCTAAAGACTGTGCATAAGACAGTTATGAGAATTTGAAAATGCACTAAAATGACATGTGACATCATTGCCATATGTAATTATGTCACACATTTGCACGTCTAACTGAAACAAATGTGCAAGATTCTACACGATATACTGGACAAGCAATGGCATATGAAGAATATATAAATTTTAAAATTTTGGAAAAGTGCAATAACCCCAACAAAAAAAAATTGTAAATAAATGAAATTTTTTAATTTTATATTTGTGTGTGCAGCAGACGCCAGGGTGGTCAGTTAACTGTTCAAAGCCAATGATTCATTTTGTGCAACTTCAGTTCCGGGCTGTCTGATGAAACCCTTACGAAGCTGCCGGCAGCAGAGGGGTTAGTCTCTGTATGTGCAGCCCTTCATAGCGGAATCCTGCACATACAATCTCAAGGCACCATGACCACTTCAAATCACTGAAGTTGGCATGTTGTATGTAGTAGAACATTAAAGGATAAGCTGCCAAAATCTCTTGCAACATTAGATATTTGCAAGCTTAAAGTAAAAATAAAATATATGCATATTGTGAGGTACTTAAAGGGGAATGTATGGGCAAAGTCCCCATTTACATGGCAGCTTCAGTTAACCTGTGATTGTGTAGCTAGACAAAACACATGGCTACTAGTGAAAAACTCTGCAAAACAATGTAGACGTAAGGACAAACTTTAACCCTGATATAAATGCGCCGTTGTAGTTTGCTTACAGAAGAATGTTTTTTTTCCCCCCCTGCTCTGTAATTCTATATAACACACACAAAGTTTAGTCTATATCCATACACGCCGTACAAAAAGAATCATTTTTCTGTAAGTGAACTGTAAGGATACATTTATACAAGAGCTAAAGTTCACGTCTTTCCCACTGAGTGTCAGCTTTATGTGGAAAGAGAGGCAAATTCCCATGAAAGTCAAACAGTCATATGGTATAGTGTCTGTCTGTGGTGGAGGGATGGAGGGGGAAGAGGGATGGGGAAAAAGGAAAGAGGAAACATGCAGCATTAAGGAATTTGTCCAAGTCAGCAGCCTAACACGATAAAAAGTACTATAGAATGTCTCAAGCAATCATAGGCAGTGCTGGCATGCAAATACCTTATTTATCTTGAGTTTCTGTTGAGTTTCTGTCACCATCTCTTTACTGAACCCGAGATGGAGTTTTTCAGCAGAAAAACACTGCAAATCTTGACAGAGTTTAACAAGAACATAGTCTCGGAGACGGACAAAGTTTTCTGACGGATCTTCAGCTGTAGGAAGAAAGAAAAGGTTTCATTTTGAAATACTTCGCAGCTGTCCTCTTTCCATATCTAAATAATCATGATCACATAACTCTGATTAGCCAGCTTGACAAAGACCTCTTAGCAGGTCGAAACGTTTCTGCTCCAGTGTTTGTGACTAAGTGGCTACTAAAAAAGACTGGACATATCCCATTTGCAATACCTTGGGTTGTCTACTATTGCAAATGGTATGTCATCATGGGGGTAATTCTCATTCCTGGGCTACCATATGCTCTCAAAGGCTATGTAACCAATCTGGCAAGTTTCAATGTGAAAAAACTGAAAAGGGTAACATGCTATATTTGACCCTGTAACTTCCCAAAACACCATAAAACCTGCACATAGGGGGTACTGTTTTATACGTGAGACATCGCTGAATACAAATGTGTATTTTATTGCAGTAAAAGCAAACAGTATTATGACAGTCACAGTTAAAATGTCATGCAGAACTAAAAAAAACTTTAACATCTCTTAATTTCTCACTTTTTAAAATATTTTATTCATATCAAATTAAGTTTCATAGCTAAATATTTGATGTTAAATGAAAACCCTATTTCACCTGAATAAAATGATATATAATAAGTGTGGGTGCACTTAATACGAAAGAGGTGAATTAGGGTTGAACAGACAGTCAAATCCCAAGTTTTGTTTACGTTTTATTTTGATCAAAACATGAACATTTGGCTCAGTCATTAAGGGGTTAAAAACGTATATGATTTGTGTAAAACAGTGAATCTTCTGTATTTTCTGAAATACATAGTAATTCTATAAAACGATCCCCCCCATAAAGGCCCTACTTAATATGCAGACCTTTTAATGCAAAATAAAACAGTTTAAGCTTTGCAAGAAAAAGAAAACACTTCAATCGTTATGAAAAAGAATTTGTCATAGGTAAGCACAAAACTTTCCTAGTGAAATAGAAAAAAAAACACAAACTATAAAGCCTTGTCAGAATAAAATGAAATCCATAAGCACGGCATTGGAAAGATCTCGTTTTCAGTTCTTATCGGTGCCTATATATTACGTTGTGTGTGCAAGGTTAACCATTTAAACTGCTGTGTGATTGGGCTTCCAAACCGCAGCATGCTGTAGCTAAACATGTTTGTGATCATAGTCCTACCATATTGGTGTTATCTAGACAATTTGTGACACTGCACACCATACTTTTTTTCCCCGCTTATTTTGGTGAAAGCAAACTACTATATAGCATTTTACTGATTCAATAAATTTCCTGCCAAACAGCACATAGCTGGACTTGTATTTAAGTGAGTGACAAGGAAGTCTACTGCAATTACAGGCAGTTTTAATATAGACAGATATAATTTATTTATAATGCATGGAGAGCTCAGGTAGCTAAGTTTACAACACCAGTAAAACTTTTAACTACTGTTGGAAAACACTTTGTGAGTTTTTGCTTTTACACAAGTTTATGCGGTTAGAATCACAGATAAAGTTAATAAGGAGTACTTTATGATATTTCTGGAAATGTTTAATATAATGAAAACCATTGATAATTATTGCTTATATAAATCTAGTTTCTAGCAAGAGAGCTTAGTGTTTGTCAGGTACTGCATGTATATATTTATTCGCACTACCATAAATCAATTGATGTTAAGAGGATGTCAAATTATTGCAAGGTCCCCTGCAGCAGGGATGTACTATCTATTCTATCTATACATTGTGCTGGAAGATTTAAAAAGGATTCTCCTACTTGTCAGTCACACCTTTGGCATAGCCTCTATGGAGAAGAATTGGCTGGCAAGGGGGAGCACAAAACATCTACCACAGACAGTCCTCCTGCTCCCCACACAGAGCATCCACAGCATATGCACTCCCTAACCACAAGTGCTAGCATATTGGCAACAAAGTCAGTGTGTCAGTGTTAATATATCGTGTTTGTCTGAGATACATTGTGTATTCAATCCATTTGGAGCCTATATAAAGCAGATATAAACATTTATGATATGTTCACTTTAAGATCTTTTTGTTTGTGCACGTGCTGGTGATTTATTGTTTGTGAACATTTTAAAATACAGATTCTAATTCATACTTGAACCTGTTCTTGTCAAAAACTTTTTTTTTTTTTTTGGTGACAATCACTTTAAAGGGACACTCCACTAACCAAAAGACAAAAAAATAAATAAAAATAAAAAAATAAAAAAAATCAATCACTGTAGATATACCCCAATGAAAACTTGTAAAATGAAAAAATAAATAAAAACCAATAAAGCTTTATAACAAGCTAGAGTTTTTTTTTTTTGTTTTTTTTAGGGGCCTGGAGTTACTATTGAAGAAATGAACATGGTTTGTACATGTTCTATCTATTTCATTTCCCTCCTTATAAATTCAATATATTTTCTCACTATTTATATGCTAGACTACATTGAGGTGAGGGAAAATCTACAAGTAAAAGCAGCAAGAGTGACTATAAACTTGTTTTCTAACAGTATCAGCAACTTGTAAAAAATATTCAAATAACCTCCAAGATTGACCCTTAATTCCCTTCTGTGTATGTTTGCCAAATCACAAGCATCTTCAATCAAAAAAAAAAATATAATAGTTTCTACTCTTTGTAAAGAAAATGTGTCAAGTCAATAAATCCATTCGGTATAAATTCATGGCAGAAAGTGTGATCAATCATCCCCCTGGGTTAATTGAAGGATATGATCAATTGCACTGCAATGTAACTACTGAAAAGATTCTTTATATTCCTGACGCAATAGATTTTGTCTAACCAGAAGTGAGCAAAATATCAAAGTTTACACGGCTATTCCTTACTGATCGCTACCCCGTAACAGATCAGTTAGTGGCAGCTATTTGAGTTTAACTGCATGCGGATATAAAAATGATCACATATATAATGTATTTAGATATAGAAGTTCTTCATTTAAAATACTCTACTTGTGTTTGTCTATCAGTTCTTTAAAAGTGCAAAGAAAAACGAACTTGCAGCACTTCATTAACTGCTCCCACTTCTCTACTGATTAAAATCGCACAGATTTTTTTTTTTTATAGTGAAATGCATAGGAAAAATTTCACCAAAATGTGTAAGAAATAAAAAAATAAAAAAATAATCCACACGTCATTGATATTCAACACATCCTTCAAGTTTCTTTTAAAATATTTATCATAGCATTTTAATTTCACATATCTTACTAAATCTATAGCATAAACCAAGATAATTACAAAGACTTTTCAAATTGCCAATGAGTTCATTTTAATTGGAATAAAATAAGGACCATTTATGGGAATTTTTAGGTGAATATGTGGTTCAGTTAATCATTCTGAACAGTAACATTGTTGCTTCATAAACAGAATTCTAAATATAAAATTGTACTGCTATGACTTAAGGTTTGGGTTAAGAACCACTTATTTAAAACACATAATAAGTCTCAACAATGTGATATTCATAAAGAAGTTAGTAAACACTAGTAGATGAAAGAGAAAAGGTTGATATCAGCTTCTTAGAGGGATACCTGGGTTGTTGACAAACAGCAGTGATAACAAATACCAGTACATCAGGTATAGGTTAGTGACCCATAGTTGTTCATTTTTATATTGTTTGTTTCTTACTGGAGAATGAAAGCAGATTACATGGTAATTAAGGGACACATTAGGAACAATAGCCACTTTTTCTCACTGAAGTGGTTATAGTGACTGGAGACCCCTGGCGTCATCCATCTGTACAATAAATTCTGTAAACAGTTTTCAACAGTTTTAACAATGAATGACGATCCGGGGCATTTGCAGTCTAGCCCCACCTAGAAATACGGTTAATTTGGCTTACACTCGGTCATGCCATTTCATACCAGCAACAGGCAGGTGTGAAAGGTTGAGAGTAGTTACTGCCTTGGGCTGTCAAAAATGATACTGACATTGAATGGAAGAGTAAGATGAACAAGGCTATAGTGCCTATAAAGTGTCTCTTAAAAGGGATGTAATGTAGTTGTTCTGGTAAGTATAGTCAGTCCCTTAAGAGAAACAACAGTGTTTACATTGCTCACTAGGGACACCTCCACTGGCCGCCACTCAGATTGTCACTGGAGGTTCTTCCTGGTTCAGTGTTGCACAGTGTGTAACACTGACATTCAGTGTCTCCACACTGTATGGAGACACTGAAATTCCACACTGATTTAAAGCATCTCTATAAGGAGATGCTGATAAGCAAGGGTGGCGTTTGCGCCTCCCCCCCACTTCTGATGTCAGCCAAGGAGGCGGATCATGGGTGGAGGCAGCACTGGCAGACTGGAAATAAGGTAAGATTTCACTGCATTTTGGAGGGTAATTGGGGCTTGATGGTTATTGTAACACTGTAGGGTCAGGAATACTTCCTGACCCTATAGTGCTCCTTTAAGTAAGCAAAATAAAACAGAGTAAGAAACACTACTATGTACTAATGAATTGTGTGATATAAATTTATATAGATTGTACAAATATTCCCTACAATAACCTACAGCCACTCTTAACTTGAAAATTACACAACTAAACAATTACACAACACTATATCATTAGGAATACAAGTTTGCATTTCTAATGCAACAGTGTTCTTTTAAATACCAGGGCCTCAATTGTACACAAAACCTTGTTATGCAAATTTACACCGGTATGAAAACATAAAACATGAGAATACGCTAGCTCTATATGGACTTGTTTAAATGCTAAATAATATATTTTATAAAACATGTGAGCGTGTATTCCCCTTAATGCATGTAATAGGCCTTTTAATAAACAGGCAAGGCACACTGACACAGCTGCCCGAGAAAGCTTGTCTGGCTAGCATTATCCCAAATGATTAGCCACTCTATTGTACTGTAAGCACATAAATACCCAGCATTTCAAAGGAAAGGAAACAAAAGATTTAATTGTTCGGAGAAGGCCTGTATGTACCCTTTCACTGCCAAGTAATGCTACAGATCTTCGAGCATGTTTAACTTCTGCCACAGTGTTTCAAATGACAAGATAAATCATGGAATATTGTCTGTTTAATTCTTCTATTAACAGAAGCAAAAGTGCAAAAATAACAATGATAAAAATAAAATTAAAAAAAATATGCTATGCAAAGCACGCCAACATTATCACAACCTGATTCTACTATATTTATTACCAACTGTTATGGCTCAGTGAAAAAGATAACTACATTTTCGCTCGGCTAATAAAAAATAACCAAGATGAGAAAGAAAAATGCTATGTAATTACAAAATAAGTGACTCCCTCTGCTTAGATCAGCTCATCTGACTGCTGTCTGCATGGTTTTAAGTGCTAGATTGCAGACTCTCATGAGAAAACCCCACAATATCATTAAAATCTATGTGTAACGTCTGTTTGTAATTAGGATTAGCAATATCGGTGTTCATTGTTGTCAAATGTAGGCTCAGCAAAAGAAAAATTAAAACACAGAAGTTTATATCACAAATACAATTCTTCACAGTTGCATTAATGTAAATAAAATAGTGTAGATATACTGCACTTGTAAAATCGGGATTTCTTATTTCTACCACGGAGGCTACAAATTTAGATGCTGAAGTGCCAATACTGACATTGTTCAACTTTGTAACTTCCCTTTAAGATGTAATGGAAGGCTGCTCTACTTCACAGTTTAATGAATAAACCCTTATTGTAGTTAAAAGCAAACAGGAAATTAAGGTGAAATGAAAACCAAGCTGCAAAATTCAGGCAAAATCAGTCTGGCTGGAAATGAAGATTTCACTGGCCCCCCAGTTTATGGGAAAATTATTGCAACAAGGAAGGATCATCTCCCGTGATACATGATTGATTCTAATGCCAACTCACTGTGCACTTGCAAGATTACCTATTGAAGATCCTGAGGTCACACAGGATTGTTTATTGCCCTAGTTTTGTACTCTTTTGTATGTGTGATAGTAAAGTAGTAATGAGGGCTCATGGTAGATGAATAAGTATGGTGGCAAGATGATAGTGGTACCAAGGATGGGACAACTTAAAGGAACACTATAGGCACCCATCTATAGCACATCATCTCATTGAAGTGGTCTGGCTGCAGTGTCCCTGTCACCCTTAGCCCTGCAATGTAAACATGGCAAGTTTAGAAAAACTGCAGTGTTAAGACTGCCTCTAGTTGCTCTCTACCAGGCATCCACTGACTCTTCCAGCAGTTTCAATGAATTTGACTCTGCAGGGGCAGAGAGGCACGTTAATGTTAAGAATAAATATTTGTATTCCGAACACTACACTGCTTTCCTATGGACTGGCTGAATGCGCGCGCGGCTCCTGCCACGCATGCGCATTCAGCCGAAGAGGAGGAGAAAAGCTCACCGCCCGGCGCTGAAAAAGAGAGGTAAGTTTAATCCTTTCCTTTCCATCCAGCCCGGCGGGAGGGGGACCCTGAGGGTGGGGGCACCCTCAAGGCACTATAGTGCCAGGAAAACGAGTATGTTTTCCTGGCACTCTAGTGGTCCTTGAAGGTAAGTATATATCCATAAGTACATCCCGTTTGGGGAGGCCTTTAAAATTGTAACAGTAATATTTAGATTTAACAAAACAAAAAAAAACAACACAACAATGTACAATAATATGCCTGATATGCCTTCACAAATGTCTAAATCCTTCGTATTAGAAATAAAAAAGAAAATTGAAGAAAACATGTTTGAGTATTCTCCAGCAAATGTATAGCTTATATAAAATAGAAGCATGCATACAGATCTTTTTATCTGAACACACTAGAGCAGACTACCACAAAGTATTCTTGGACCGAGACCAAAGAATCATGCACTGCATGGACATGTCATAGATTAATATTGGTACATTCTATGCAATAGAATGGAGTTTTAAAAAAACAACAACAACAAAAATTTAAGTACAAACTTGCTAGAATTATGGTCAAAAGACTTACATTAGTTGGTGTGTAGAGACGCCACAACCGCATTTTTTTTTTTGGAATGACAACTGACAGAGCTTAGGAAATGAGTGAATGGATGTGTATGTGACGTATTCACATAAACACATTAAAATCAACACAGGGAAGCTTCACTACTCCACTGGTTTTAGACCCTGGCTAAACACATGTGGTGAACAGATTTTTGACTTTGAGGGCAAAACAGCATTTCAAACACATCTGGTGCGAGGACTCACTTATAGATGTTCAATGTCCTATTGAAATTAACCCTTTTTTTAGTTTCAGAGAAAAGTTAAAACATTCTACAGCAATACGTGACAAATCATGTGTATTCAGTAACTGCCATCCATGTAGAAACCCCAATGGCACATTCTGTAAACTCACTCTATAATTTAGCATTAACGGTTGTGTTTGTCTGCTAGTTTTTCTCAGTTTTTTCTGTGAGGTGGTAAATGCAGCAGCAGTAGTAGTAGTAGTAGTAGTAGTAGTAGTAGTAGTAGTAGTAGTAGTGAGGTGGTAAATGCAAGTAGAATGAAGGATATAGGAGGTAGAGAGCACCAGGACGGAGTGTACTGCTCAGGTAAATGTGGAAGATTTCCAAAGAAGTGGATATGAACCAGACAGGAAAAGTGAAGAGTACATTGGAATGCTAGAGTTAGCAAATCTAGTTATATCAACTTATCACAAGGATCAGTACTCTAGTTACATTGCAGAACAAATACTAGTAAGCAGTTACATGACACTATATCTTTTGGAATACATCAGTGCTACTTAAAGTTATGCAATTTAAATAAAAAAAAAACAAAAAAAAAAACACAGTTTGGTCTATTCACAGGTCCTATTTCACAAATAATGCATATTCAGATTATTTAAAAGTAGAGTGACAGTGATGTTTCAGTCTTGTATAAGCACCAAGCTTATTAAAGATCATGCTTATTAAAGTTGTGTGTGAATATACACATACATATTTATATACACACACACGTTGTGGGTAAACCAGGAGGAAATTCATTGAAGAATAGTATATTAATTTATTGTTGTGTTGCTAATGTTTGTTGTTGTTTTTATTGTGTATTACAAACTTTATATATGCTTTATCTTTCCTCTCAGTAGTTTGACAAACACTGTTCATGTGGGGAATTGCAACTATCATAACCAATCCCACCCCTCACCCCTTTTAAAAGATTCTCACGTAGCCATAAAACTAAATGCCTGAGCCCTTCCTCTTTCAATGCATCTAATCGCCTCTTTTGGACATTCAAATATGTCATAAACACTTAAGTAGCACTTAAAATGTGCATAAAAATATCTCATGCATGTTAATCACAGCAAAAAGGTTCTACCTTTGCAACAAAGCAAATGCAGAGATTCAAGATGTTTCATTTTATTCTTTTCCTTCCCTGCATTTCAGGCTGACGGGCAAAGGTGTGGGCACTACCTACTTTGTAAAGTATAGGGGCAAGCTGCCACAAAGCATTCAAATAGATTTCTACACAAAGGAGAGGGGAAGGGTTTTACGAGTCTGTTCTGATTGTGAAAGGAAAAAAAAATCAAAATGTAAAGATTGGGAGGAGGGAGAACGAGAAACAGACATGCAGGTGGTGGAAAAGAAGCCTTGCTCCACATATATATGAATATTTATGTGTGTCTACGAGCACAATGTATTTTACATTGGATACTGCTACACACCAACGTTCATTTGTATCGAAAGCTCATTATGTATGCACAGAAGGTTTTATTCTTGAATTATGAAACTATCTTGAGATAGTTTAATAATGGTATCGGTTTGCAGAAGCCATTTATTTTTAACTGTACTTTATCGGACAATATGAGATAATTAACAGATGATATGCTATATTTGTTTCATAGTCTTCAATGACTCTTTACATGTAACCGTTTTAGGCTATTAATTAGTTGTGCAGTTTATAAAAAGTAGGAGACCTGTATATTTTCACACCCTTAAAACCAGAACTTTATCTACTCTTGATGCCTTGGTACCCTTTTTGCTTAACAAGAGAATACATAGACCAATGGAGCCCTACCGGAGTTGGAAACACTCACATAAATATATTTTTATTACAAAATATAGCTTGAACAAATGGTCATATTGTATTTAAAGAAAAGTTATTTTTCCCCCTTTAGCCCACAACCTTCAGGAGAACTTTACAGCGCTTATTACATCACTGTTTAAATAAGGTAACGTTCCCACACAGATTTGTCTTGAAAGGGGAGCTGCCACTACAAGTTAATCAAGGATTGTTTAAAAAATAAATAAAAATAAATAAATAAGTATATCTCCATTTACATAATAAGCAAAGAGTGTTGGCACATCCAGAGCATAAGAGCAAATACAACATATAACAACTTGGGTCTTAAACAAGTTTTGCTCATTACAGAGAGAACCTGGACTGTGGCATATCACACTGGTTTCATACAATAGGGCAGTCTAGATCACAAATACTAGCAAGTATCCACAGTGAGATACAGCAGCCCTTGACTGTAACTTTAGAGTAACTTCCAAAGTAGCGATGCCATCAAAGCCTACAGGTTTGGTCAACTGCTCGAATACAGTTTGTCCAAGAACTCGGGTTGATACCCAGAGCTTAAGGCCCCATATCCACCATGTTGGCATGTGTTTAAACCTAGACTCCCCTTTAGCAATATAATGGGAAAGGAGCTAGGGAGACATAATTAATATATATATATATATACCAGTTTTTCTGAAATGTGGAAGTATTGTGTACAAAGTGGATATGATAGGGCACTGCTCATCATTAAACAATTTACCTATAAGCAAATATAAGAAAATTGATCTTTAAAACCGTGCAGCTTCCAGATTAAAATGGTTTGATATTGTTCAGTGTATATCACATCTGATTGTGATGCCTTGATACAAAATGTTTTAAAGAGACTGGCAAAAATAAATGTGTGATTATGATTAGTTGTGATTATTTAATTGTGTGTGAATGGGTATTCATTTAAAGGACAATTAAAGACACCCAGACCACTTCATTTCAATGAAGTAGTCTAGGTGCAGTGGTGCTGTCATATGAAACTTGCAGTGTAAAACATTTTGTAAAAACTGCATTGTTTACATTGCAGAGTTAAATACCATTCCTCCTCCAGAACCTCAGTCCTGCAATCAAATGATGCTGGTAGCAGCATTTAATTGGAGTAACGTGGCATTTGTCCATGCATGCCTATTTCTAATCCATTGCTTCTCTCTGAGAAGCATTGGATTGTAACTGATCAAAGAAGATGTCAGCAGGCATGCTGTTGTCTTCAAAAGGTGGAGCAGGCGGCTGCAACAGAGGAGTCCCGGCACTAGAAACAAAGTAAGTAATTATTCTTAGTCCTTTTTTTTTTTTTTAAATGCAAAGGAGTGTAAAGTCCTGGGGGGAAAAACAATTGTTATTTTTGGTACCTACTAAGTACTTAAAGATCCCTTTAAGTAGTTATATTTTCTTGTGCATGGTTACTCATAGAAGATCATGTATTGAAAGCTTCATATACCCATCCAATGCCACTTATAATCTCAAATATAATAAAGATATGTAAATAAATGAAAAGCTGAACTATAAACAGGGTGAATAATTCAGTATCAAACCATGCACATGCTAACTTTATTTCCCGATACATGGTTACGTCATGGAGATTTTGTGTCTGTCCATATGTTTCAATGCTTTTGTTTTCTTTTCCTACATCATGTTGCCATCACACGTTTACATTGAGGCAATCTATGTAATCACCAAGGGAAGACAAACCCAGCACTAGCCAGATGGCAAGCTTACTTACTGTATACCCATTAGCGCACACAAATAACCCATAAAAAAAATAAAAAGTTATAGAAAATATCCAACAAAACTTAAAATGACAATATAAATGTAAAAGGATCCCCTCTAGGTTGAAGGCAACACACACTAAGGCTTACAACACTACCCAACGCAAAAGCGTACATGAACATATGGGGCAGTCTCGAGCCCAAGGGGTTACTCACATTAACTTACACCCAAACACTGGGAGATTCCGCCAAGGAGCCACACTACCACGGCCCAAAACACCCGACCAACCCAACACACGCTCCAATGTCAAAAAACAACTGACACACACACACCAGCCAACAAACGTCAGCGCAAACCCTACAAGGGCAGGGACACCCTCACACATTCACTAACACCAAGACAGAAAGCATACGCTCAGCCATATCTCGCCCGTCTGATAGACGGAAACAATCAGTAGCAACAGGCCACTCTCACCTTACCATCACCACATCACTATTGTAACATGCTAATCTGCTTTCCCCTCTTGCTGTTATTACAATGTTACTACAAAGTTACTACAATGTTTAGCCTTACGTTTAAAAAAAAAAAAAAAAAAAATGTGTGCGAAGAATACGCAGGCATAGATAGTTTGTCCATCACACACATTTCATCCGTTTTAACTTACACCAACACCAAAGGAGGGGCAACTTGATGCCAAAACAATTCAGAATTTCTATGGGCTGATATAAACAGAACTTTTGCAAGCAGTTTATTTTCTGCCCTAGGCCTAAATTTATTTATTTATTTATTTTTTAATGCAAAGGAGCCTAAAGTCCTGGGGGGAAAAAACTTGTTATTTTTGGTACCTACTAAGTACTTAAAGATCCCTTTAAGTAGTTATATTTTCTTGTGCATGGTTACTCATAGAAGATATTGTATTGAAAGCTTCATATACCCATCCAATGCCACTTATAATCTCAAATATAATAAAGATATGTAAATAAATGAAAAGCTGAACTATAAACAGGGTGAATATAATGATACATAGTCAAACCTCAACACCTAATCCATTAATGCATGTATCCTGTTAACCGATACTCATGCGACACTGCTGTGGCATCACAGGAGACCTTTGTATACAAACGCACAATAAAACAAAGAATTAAAAAAAAAAAAATGTAAAAGGATCAAAAACAGGATCACATTTGTGAAGCCAGATACATACTCTTAAAGCAATAAATGTTCTTAATCTAAAAAAGTGATATAGATAGAGATATGTATATATCTATCTCCAACATGGGCTTGGCACTCACATTCCAGTCCTGTTCTGTTCTCGCCTTGGTATTTTGTGCCCCAATACAACATCACAGAGAAATGCACTCAGAGGGCTTGTAGTCTTGTGCAATATATCCTTTATTTGTGCAAAGGTATAGTCAACCTTTCAGTCCGACGTGGACTTTTTTGGTCTTGAAAAAAGTCCAAGTCGAATTGAAACGTATGTTTACGATTTCTACTAACATCCCACTTATGAGCACATCACAGAAAAAGGTAAGTTGTGGATCATGGAGACATCACTTTAGCTATGGCAGGCATAGATAGTTTGTCCATCACACACATTTCATCCGTTTTAACTTACACCAACACCAAAGGAGGGGGAACTTGATGCCAAAACAATTCAGAATTTCTATGGGCTGATATAAACAGAACTTTTGCAAGCAGTTTATTTTCTGCCCTAGGCCTCAATTTATTGTTTTCACTTTTTAAAATTCTTTATTTTTGGTATACCACAGAAAAGCAAGATGGCATTCAGTACATTGACATGCAAGATACAGGTTACAGGTTAAGGCCTTCGGAATGCTTTTTGTGTGTGAGAAAAAGGTATAACATTATATAACACACGTAGGTGAACAAATGTTTCCCTCATGGGAATGTGGTGGCAAGGGTGGCTACTTAAGGGCGGCACTCCCCTGTGAGGTACCCTCTTCCCTGTATCGTAGTGGTGGGCAGTGAATGTGCTCGAGAAGTCAGGGGGGTAAGAAGGGAGCCATATATAATAATATTACGGTGGTGGCGCGTAGATGCTAAATCAGCGGTGAATGACCAATTGTATTCCCTAGTCACATATAATAACAACAAAATAATTGACAAGGAAAGGTACATTCAGATTACTCTGGTTTTCAAGTGCGTTCTGGGGATGTTACCTTAGCCCAACATCCAGGAGTTGTTACTATATGCCCATTATACATAAAGAAAATTAAATGACTAAACATATAACATAACATAACATATAATAGTGAGTAGCTAGCCTAATTGTTGGCGGTGAACTTTGGGACATTAGAGGGGTCTAAAGCCAGTTAGGCCTGTACCTTCTGCTCTCAGCGTCTCCGTCAGGCAATATTCCTCCAGTGCCCCGCCCCCCCTTCTGCCTTTCCTCCAGTGCCTCCCCCCCCCTCCCCCCCTTCTGCCTTTCCTCCAGTGCCTCCCCCCTTCTGCCTTTCCTCCAGTGCCTCCCTCCTTCCTAAATGCCTATTCCTCTAGTGCCTCCCCTCTCCCTATTTTTTCAGTGTCTTCCTTCTTCCAACCTGCCTCTTTCTCCAGTACCTTCCCTCGCCGTACCAGCCTCTTCCTTCAGTACCTTTCCTCTCTCTGCCTATTCCACCAGCGCAATAATAGATTTTAATATCGTTTTAGTATTAAAATAAAATACGATGTAAAGTAAAAAGGAGTAGTATATGAAGTATCTGATAGTGAAGTTGGCACGGAGAATCATAATACTTTTAACCACTTAAAAGCATTATCTGGTAGAAGTCTAGGATACAATGAAGAACGGCTTTTAATTCTATAGCTAATCTAAACATAGACTTTAAAGTACAAGGATGCAATTAGAAGGAATAGATGCTTTCTGTTCAAGTGATAATTTAGTGGAATAAAACAATTACAGGCATTTACTCTACAAATATTTGTATGCTGATATTTGTTCAAAACTGATCCCACTTCAGATGGCAGCAGATTCAATTATGACTAAAATTACAATAACTAAACTCTTGATAAAAAAAATAAATAAAAAAAAGGCAAAAAACAAAAACAATTTGTAACAGCCTGTATAGATCACTACAGAGTGTACATATAGAACTACAAGATTGCAAAATAAACCATGTACACTGGCACTCAGAGATAGTCTTGTTTAATTAAGTAGATTTTAAATCAGCATTACAAAACACATCTGTTCTACAGGAGCAGGACCACCCTAGTTTATGATAGATTACTCTCTATACATCAATACTTTGAATTCAGGAAGTTATATTTTTTAACAAGGTAATTCAATAAATCCTAAGAGGTCTGTCATTTGTTCAAGTTTTGCCTTTGTCCAATAATGTCTGCTAGAAGCATAACTGAACAGTCCTTAAAAATATATAGCGAATGCTACAACATTCACAGTGCATTGGCTAAGTGAAAGGCATCTCATAGCTGGTGAACATTAATCAGCGTGTTCATATAAAGCAGTGAAAAAACATTGGTCCATGGGTTTTGAGTAGATATTCAAAGTTATTTAACGGGTTTAGACTTTATATGTCTACACTTAATGATAAAAGTTAACAAGCGCCAGTGCTTGAGGTACAGATCTTATCTTTGCAAAGCGAATATACTTTTTCCCAGAGAGATGTGCAAAACAAGTCCATCTGACACACAAGGCTTGTGAAACTTCAAAGAATGACCCAGTAATCGTATAATAAACTCAAATGTGATCTGGAAAACATTTATTTTCTTAAAAACAGGCTTTCCTGATTAACATGACAGATACATTTCAAACAGACACAAGAAGAATATTGGATGCTTATCTTTCCATACACACTGAAGAAGCCTCTAGAAGCTGCATTTGACGGGAGCAGTAATTAAAGATGGAATGAAAAAAAAAACACTACTACTGTACTAAAAGAATATTTATGGACATCAAATGTCACATCCACCATGATACATTCAAATTATATTTATTTCCAAGTCTACGGACATTATTTTAAGAGAATAAAGAACCTGGAAAATGTACCTTTGTGAAATGTAAAAAAAAGATTTTCTGGATTGAATCTCTTAATCCATCAGTTATTTGTCAAGGAAAATAATCTAAGCATATGAAAATTACTAATGAAAATAATAAAATACAGTAAAAGTCACTTTTAAACATCAAATGGAAAGAAAACCAATAGTTCTAATAGTTTTTTTTCTTCTTTTCCTGTATCTTGTCCCGTTTTAAAAAAACCAAAACAGTACAGTAGTATATCACGTGAAAAGATAAATATTCCAATAAAATTACTCACATTTCAATAAAAGAACTGAAGAATATCACTATTAAAGGGACACTATAGCCACCAATAAAACTTAAGCTTAATAAATCATGCCCCTGCAGTCTCATTGCTCAATTCTACTATTTTGGATTTAAATCACAGCCCTAGTCACACCTCCCTGCATGTGACTTGCACAGCCTTCCTAAACACTTCCTGTAAAGTGAGATTGAATGTTTAATTTTCCTTTATTGCACAGTCTTTTTAATTTATAATTTCTTATCACTTGCTCAGTTCATAGCCTTCTAGACCCTGCAAGAGTTTCTTGTGTGTAATAAATGTTCAATTTAAAGAGCAGGAGATTCTAAAGCAAGTTGATATCGGATTGAAAATGAAACCAGTTATTTTAATGCAGGCTGAGAGAGTCACTGCAAGGGGAGTTGTGGATAGGTCTGAATAAACAAAAATTAATCAGCTAAATGGCAGAGAATTGAGCAGTAACACTGCAAAGACATGATCTATACACTAAAGCTGCTTCATTAAACTAAAGTTGATTTTGAATCCTATAGGGTCTCTTAAATACTGGCAAAAGCCTTACTGCAGCTTCCTCACATGAATGGTGTTTGATGCAGCAGGCACTGATTCCTCTCATAAGTCCAGTATAGTATGCAGTTTCTGCAGTCTTTTTTCAATTCATATAAAGTCCTCAGACATATTACATTGCCTAAATGTGTTTCACCTTTGCATGGAGCTGTATCAATGGCATATTGAAACAGGGGCAAAGCTCATCTCAACGAAGTGGTCTGGGTGCATAAGCTATTTAGCAGGTTAAGGACTATATTTTTCACTTCTACTACATGATGTGGAAAAATTACTTTTACTGTATATTTGAGAATATAGAACAAAGTCACTATTTGTTATACTCCCAATCAGCAAGTCTTTGGAGGCCAAATGATTAACATCACAGCCCCCTCCACAAAAAAATAAAATAAAATAAAAAACACATATATCCAGTGTTTAGGTTTTCTTCTGCTCTATATATTGCTCGGAAGTCCTCATTGTGCCTGCCTTATAATATATCCTACAATAATAGACACATTCATTGCTTAGCCTGGCTCTGTAATTATGATTTGTGTTTAACATTTTAATGTATTATTAGTTTTACAGGAACACTCTGCACACATAAAGAACTGCTTTGTGTGCCTGAAGCCTGTTCCGTTTGTGACAGCTTAGAAAACTGGTAATTTTAATTGAAATTGGAACTTTTGTAATTGGAGGTAAAAACACCTCCCTGGCTCTAAGACAACCAAAGATGCTTTCCTCCACTTACGTTAGCTCCATAGAGCTAATGGAAAAGGAAAGCGTGCTGGGTTAGAGCGTGTCTGCCTCTCCCCTTTTTAAATGAGCTGTATTACACAGGAGAACCATGATTACGTGTACATCTCCAGCACAGAGGCTTCTCAATGACAAGCCTCTTACTGGTGTGTTCCCTGGCATAGACAAAGTATGTGTCAGGGAAAATGGGAGGGCTTGTAAATTATGCAGACAAGAGATCTGCAGCTTTTGCAAGCTGTTTTTTGATATACACCCAATAACAAATGCATAAATAAAGGCATGCATGTTTTCTTTATGGGTAAACATACTAATAGTGATTTGGGGGGTAATGGAGAGTTCCTTTAATGTGCAGGGTATAGAAAATAAAAGGCTATTTTTAATATTGTTTGTTGGAGCAAAAAATAAATAAAAAAATTAAAAAGTAATACAATGAAATTGTATCTCTGGTTCTAAAAGCATTATATTTTATATAACTCGTGTACTGTCCTCATGACATATGGAACCGTGAAAGCGAGTTGCATAGGAAGCATTTTAATACCATGTTTATAGATATATTATTTTTTATTTCAATTTGTTTTTTTAAACAGAAATGGAACTTGATTGATTGAATTGAACTTCCTTTCACAAAACATTTTAGAGATTATATCATTGACCAACGAGAAATGCTATGGGTGTCTGGGTTCATTCTGAGTAAAGAAACAAACGAGTGTCTGTAAGCATGTAGCCACAATGTTCTCAATATACTGCACCAAAGAAAGTGAAATCCTTTTCCAAAATAAGTCCTTAGAAATCTTCACATACCCTCTAATTACATTAAACTCTTCGATGGGCTGCTGCACTTGCATACAATAGAGTTCTATTGAACATTGCCTAGAAGAGGTTACCGCACACGCTTTCAAAGACCACTAGATTAAAAAAAGCACATCTGAAAAACTGACCACCTTGAAACCAAGTGACAAGAGAGTCTAAGTACACGGAATACACTGCACAATAACACGATTTCTTCAATCATAATTCCTTTTAATTTTGAAGTACTATATATTTTTTTAAATAAAGATCATAAAACAAATAACAACCAACCAGCTTGTATAACATTTTAAGCCATTACTTATGCCCTATTTTGGTTGATGTATATTTCTCCGCTGTAATGTGCCCGTCTTTCTGCCATTTTTAATTGAATTTTTTAAAATTAAAGCTGTCCATGAAAGATAGGCATATCATGTAGAGCGAGATATATATGTATAATATATAATACAATAGGTGGCATCAGGCTTTTATAACCTAGAGCTCTACATAAGGCTCTACATAAGGTGAGCTTAATTTATCTTCTGACAATGCAGTGTAAATAGTGGATATATTGCACTATTGGAGTTATTCTTATTTTAAACTCAGGCTTGGAGTTTCAACCATTGAAAGGTGTGATGGTGCCTTAAAAGCATCAAGGTACTGTTTACTGAGCCAGTATTATTCAGGCTCAGTTTCATGTGAGGTGGATCTAATTACTTCTTTCCATAATCATCTATACTATGGTATGGTTCTCTTTGTTTCTTTTTTATGTAAGTAGTGTATATCCCTGCTATTTCCTTAATACATTGTATTTTTATGGATTATTAGTGCTCCACCCTTTTCACTTGTATTACATTTTTGGTTTAATTGCAGTGCGATATACTGCCAAGTGCTTTAACAACGCACTTTACTCTTTGAGTTTAATTTGTGCTTAAATATATTTGCCCTTTTTGAAGAATGTCTTCAATAATTGTATGTGTGTATACACACACACACACAATATATATATATACACATATATATATATACACACATATATATATATATATACACATATATATATATATACACACATATATATATACACACACATATATATATACACACACATATATATATATATATACATATATATACATATATACATATATATACATATATATATATATATATATACATACACACACACAAAATGTTTGTGGACTTGACATACCCACAGTTTGTTTAGAAGTGGGTTACAGCGCAAGTTAATTTTTTGTCATTAGCATAGTGTTATGGATAGGAAACTTTAGCAGCAATAGAGAAAACAATAGTGACAGAAATACAAACATGACTTTATGTAGCACCTCAGCCCCCGTCTCTAATGTAAAAGGTGAGTCCTGGTTCCACCCTTAATCAGATGTTGTCAATTCTGATGATCTCAGCCAAGAAGGTGGGGTGGGGGGGTTTAGGGCAGAACCAAACGCCACCCTAGCCAATCAGCATCTACTCATAGAGATGCATCGAATCATCGAGAGTGGAGACGCTGAACTTGCACCACTGACCCAGGAAGCACCTCTAGTGGCTGCCTGAGTGACTGCAAATTAAGTTGTGCCTAGACAACTATTTAAGCAGTGTTTACAGCAAAATGCCTGCAAGGGCTGACTATACTCATCAGAACAACTACATTAAGCTGTAGTTGTTCTGGTGACTATAGTGTCCCTTTAACTAAAATAAAAACACAAAACCGTAAGCTTACTTATAATTGCTCCTCTAGTATGCATTGGCTTTGTCTTGTACTTGCACATATATTGCATTATGTGTAGCAAAAGCAGATTGTGTAACAGGTAACTCAACAAGAAAGTGTTAATTTCAAATATTGATAGGTACACAAGTCTAAGGGCCCCTAGTGCAAGGGTTTTGTTTTATTCTTTATTAATTAGAAAGCGCTAACAGATTTTACAACACTTTACAATGGGCAAGCCACACACAAGTAATTGCAATAAGACAAGTTTGACAATCACCAAGAGGTTGTGCAGTTCCTACACAACTGTGCTTATAGTCCATGTTAGGTAACATCACACAAAAACTGTAAAGCGCATACTATGCAAAGAAAATACGGATTGCCATGTGCAAGTCGGCAAACATGAGTTGTAGGCTTGATCCTTTAAGTTTAATGTAAAATATATTATTAAGTTTAATATAAATGGTATGAAATGTGCCATGACTGCCTAGTTGTGGCAGGACTTAAAGGACCACTCTAGGCACCCAGACCACTTCAGCTTAATGAAGTGGTCTGGGTGCCAGGTCCTTCTAGGGTTAACCCATTTTTTCATAATTATAGCAGTTTCAGAGAAACTGCTATAATTATGAATGGGTTAAGCCTTCCCCCTAATCCTCTAGTGGCTGTCTCATTGACAGCCACTAGAGGCGCTTGCGTGCTTCTCACTGTGAAGTGAGAGCACGTCTAGGAAAGCATTGTAAATGCTTTCCTGAGACTGCGAATGGCTGCGCGGCGGGCGGAAGGCGCTAGGCGGGGAGGGAGGAGAGCTCTCCGCCTAGCGCTGGAAAAAGGTAAGTTTAAACCCCTTTCCCCTTCCAGAGCCGGGAGGGGGACCCTGAGGGTGGGGGCACCCTCAGGGCACTATAGTGCCAGGAAAACGAGTATGTTTTCCTGGCACTATAGTGGTCCTTTAAAAATTTGAAACAAAAAGGGAGGAGATTTGGATGGGAATCACAAACCTTAAGCCTAGAATGTTTGGGTTAAATGTCAGATGGTTCTCCCCACAAATAGAAGCTAATTTAAATTAGCCTTAACACATAACTTAAACAAAGGAGGAAGAGACGCTAGGAATATTAAGAGCAAAATGGCGCACATGTAAAGATTTTAAATGCACGGTTGATATGCATTTCTAAAGAATCCAACACTGTATAAAACCTCCAGGTCAACAGATTAAGGTAAATGTCTGCTTGTATCAGCCGACTTAAGGAGCAGACTATAAAAATACTTTTGAAAATAATACAATACCTGTCATATCCAATATATTCGGAGATGATATGTAATATCTATGAACCGTTTCCAAAAGCTGGGCTCCATGCCCTTCACCTTGAAATGGTGGCAAAATCAGCATTTGGCTGGAGAGGGAAGAAAGAAATGACCAGTGTGATGGAAAGGTTAGTGGGCTGGCATTATCACTGCTTCACAAATTAGAGACGGGCTTGGCAGGAACTACACTAATGATTAAAACTCTAAAATAACTTTCTAAAACATGACCAAGATCTACAACGGATTCCAATGACTAATTTACCCTAATCTCTGCTCTCTTTTACTACTCATACACCTCCACTTGTGGCTACCAGAAGCAGGGGGAGAAGAAATTTAGTCTTATCAAAGACACCCAGTGCCTAGGCACCATAACCACTATAACCTACTCCAGTGGTTAACTTCTTACTCTGGGGCTGCGCCAGACACTCAAATTGTTTTTGAACAGTCGGACATTTACTAAAAACTGGCGCGGCATTGAAAATAAAGGTGAGGAAATTCACCTTCTCAGAGCGATCTAAGCGGGGCAGGGACCTAAACAGCCACTCTAGTGTCAGGAATACATATATGTATTCCTGACACTATAATGTTCCTTTAAGCACAGCATAAGAGAGAAAGAAAACAGTTTTTCTTTTTACATAAAAAGTTGAATTTGAGCCAAACCAATGTACCTGAATTAAAAGATAACCTAGTCTTATTATCTTGAAAACACAGAGGTTTATTAGAAGCAGATACCATGTAGAACGTAAAATGCTTTAAAACTATCCAAATTAAGGCGAACATCAGAACTCTACTGGTTAAGACAAACTGAATAATAATATCAAAGCATTTTACTAGAAAGGAAACATTGAGATTTTCCTCATTTTTCAGTATGGCCTGGGTCAGTTAAACTATCTAGTCTCTGCAATCTATTCCACTGTATCATTTCATCAAGATATGTGCTATTTACCAACTTTTTGGTTTTAATTATTGTGTACAGTTACACTAAGCCCATTTTAATCAATAATATGCGCTGGGTAAGCAAATACATTGCAAAGTTAAATGTGGATCACCTTTGTGGTACTTTTTTAGCACAAGTAGCCCTTTTTTCTGACGCACACTATTTTTCTTGATTTAAATAAACCAATTACTTACATTTCCCCAAAGTAAAATTTTACAGCCATGAGTCTATTAAACCCAAAAGCCTCCTAGCCATAATTAATTGATGGGATTTTTTTTGTTTTCAACAAGCTAAAAACACAATTCCACGTAATAGTGGGAACTTCAGTAAAATTCACTTGTGAAATGAAAAGGGTAACGAAAGAAGAAGAAAAGAAAACAGGCACGTGTTATGCTGCCAATTACCTTACACGTGGCCGGGTTTTGTCTGGGTACACATAGTAATTATAGACTGTCATGTAGCCTACGGTCGCGAAGAGCGTTGCTCCATCCTTATTATATTTCTCAAATCTGCAGATGAAACAAAAAGCCAAGCGGGTCAATTACAGGCGCGCTCCCATGCAGGGTCCATTTTCTTTTTCCATTCTTTGAGTGAATTTCCAGTGTCAGCAAGCTACTCTGTGAGTGCCCAATGGGTACACCTGCTATATTCTGAATGAACAATTCACTTAATTGGTGAGCTGCAACTTGTATAAATCAGACCTCTTTGCATCACTTCAGTGCACTTGCCTATTGTGCACATGAATGGGTGGCGAGTAAAAGGAAACAGAGGCAAAGCTCATTTTACTGTTTAAGCCTGTATTCAGTGCTCCAATGGACAACAGCATTTAATTCAGCACTATTCTGAAGATCTCCAAAACATAATGACTTAAAACTGTTAGGCCTGAAAACAATGGTTTGTCTTGCCTGGGAAAAAATATCATTATACTTTTGCTGTTTAATTGGTGACTGCCAATTAAAATCCAAGCTTTGTTAAAAAAAAAAAAGAGAAGGTCTAAAGTTGACTCAGAATGACACTTACACTAGAAAGTAGTCCCATCGATCGTCATCCACATCAATATAGCTGGCCGTTTCAATAAACCACATCAAAAATGTCTGGAGCCTCTCATGGTACTCTTTGAAGCCAGGACATGTTATGTCAGCCTACAAATAAGACAAGAAACCAGTTAATGAAACTACATAAACTGATTAAACCATGTAAAGTAAGTAGTTTGATGGCCAGTCTCAATAAAAAAAAAACAAACCAAAAAACCAAAGAGAGATGACCAAAAGAACGCAGAAATAATTATGAAAATGGCTGTATTTAGGGACTAAAAACATAGCCTTTAGATTGTAAGCCGACAGACAGGGCCCTCTTCCTTTTGTATTGGTCTTTATACTGTATTGTCTTTTTTACAATTGTACAGCGCTGTGAAATGTCATGGCGCTTTACAAATGCCAGAAATAAATACATAAATAGCACTGCAGTGATCCAAAAAAATAAAATAAATAAATAGCGTTCTCTTTACACTCAATAGACTGCATGTGAACTGAAACACAGTTTCTGTAGATCTACATCTGTCAAGTGTACCAGTAGAAGTAGATTTTTTTTAAATCAATCATTACTAAAACGTCACTGTTTTAGTAGTAATAATAATAATAATATAGGAGAACCCAGTTTCCAGGACCACACTGGCCTGTACCCATAATCTACATCAGTTTATTACTAAATATATAAATTACGGTTTATTTCTATAAATATTTAGGGAGCAGGCAAAAACAGAGTGTAGAAAAAAAAAAAAGAATTGAATGGGAAATTAAACAATGTACAAAGAAAATGGAAAGCACAAGTAACCTGCCACTGGTAGTCTCAATGATTTGAGAAGACGAGAAAGGAAGAGCAAGTACAAAACGAAGAAAATATAAAACCACAGGAAGTACTGATACCATTTGAACTAGCTGTGGGATCACATCGGATATGGCACTGTGAAGAGGAATTAAGTTTCTCTATCATAAGTACTTCCAGTTCCCAACTATACCCATTTGATAATCTTGTAAATCCTATACACCATCCCAATAAAATTAAAATAATGGGGCGAGATCTACCCATTGATGTAGATTTGAGTGGAGAACCCTATTCTAGAATAGGATCCTGTGCACAACATAAATTAGATCACACAAATACCTTAGGGCTAAATGGAATAACTAAATGAGCCAAGATAGTGAGTGTTGCTTTAGTAACGCGCTCTTACCTTGGTTATTTGATATGTAAATTCTTCGCCTGCCTCTTCATTGTGTACAGTATATGTATGTAATATTGTTCCAAAGGGCTTAAAATTGACTTCTTTTTCCAGGAAAGATACAAAATCGTCTGTGCCAGTACAAAACCCTGCAGGGATTATTTCACGGATTTTGCTTTCAACATCATCCGCCTAAAAGAAAGAAAGTGGTGGGGGGGAGGGGGGGAGAGAGAGAGAGAGAGAGAAGATAGCTTTACAAATATATTTATATAAAAATGCATTGGAAAGTAATGCACTAGATTTTTTTTACAACTGACGAAGGATATCAATAACATCAATCAACCCAATAGCTTACATATAGACGGCTTGTCGTTTCCTGCTATAGGCTTCAAAAATCCATTGCAGCTTGGGATTATTGGTTTATAGTTACTAAATTAATGCATTTAGTTATATTCTTCACATTACTTATCTCCTGAAAAAGTCCTCACGGATGAATGTAGCAGAGCCAGAACTGCTTGAACCGAGGTGGCATCTGTCAAGCAGAGAAACGTGCAACTCTGTGTTCTGATACATAGCATTTTTAGAAGGTTTTTTTTGGTCGCCTATGAACGTTAGATGCTTTTTAAAGGCTCACTATAGGGTAAGGAACACAAACATGTATTACTGACCCTATAGTGTTAACACCACCATCTAGCTCCCCTGGGCCCCTCATGCCTCCATAAATATAGTAAAAATCTTACTGTATTCAAACCTAAAGCTGTAACTCTGCATGCTGTTAGACTCAGAAAAACAAGCAGTCTGCTGACATGTGGTAGCCTGATCCAATCACAGTACTTCCCCATAGGATTGGCTGAGACTGACAAAGAGGCAGATCAGGGGCAGAGCCAGCATGATTCAAACACAGCTCTGGCCAATCAGCATCTCCTCAGAGATGAATTGAATCAATGAATTTCTATGAGAAAAGTTCAGTGTCTGCATGCAGAGGGAGGAGATACTGAATCACAGGATGCTGTGCACAGTGCGGCCCTGTGCTCTGCTGACAGCAGATCTGAGTGGATGGAGGCATATTATGCCTCCATCAACTTCTAAGTCCCTCTGGTTCACTCTGAGTGACTGCAACTGGAGGTGTTCCTAGCTTTCAATGTAAACACTGTATTTTTTCAGAAGATACAGTGTTTACATGAGAAAGGCTGCAGGGAGCTATAGTTTTCACCTAAACAACCTCATTAAGCGGAAGTTGTTCAGGTGACTATAGTGTCCCTTTAATACAAAGGTTTGATTTTTATCTAGATTCTGCATGGAGGTCCAATTCTTGCTTTGAAGGTTGGAGAAGGACACACATAGCAGGCCACATTTTGACTGCTTGACATGCTGTAGCTATGCGTATATTGAAGGCGTGCTGCTAGTTCTGTACATATCTTTTTATTACATATTTTCTAAGTAGTTTTTAGAAGTGTATAGTGGATGCAATATTCAGGGATATCATTTTTAATTTTCGGGGTAATAGCTTCTTGATTCAATAATGAATCTGACTGCCATTCTTAGATCAAGAAGGAATTTTATCCAAGTTTGTTGGAAAATCCGAAGTGCTTCAAACAGTTGTTTCTTTCCTTCTTTTGGATCAGTGGCAAAAACAGATGTGAGAAAGGCTGAACTTGATGGACACAAGACTTTTTTCAGCCTATTAATAACGTCAGCAATTAAATTTGATTGAATTACTCCAAAATACATCAGGTTTAATATTAAAAAGTAATCCTCGGCACTACTACATGTTAAATATTAGTGAACTTTAGAGCTGGGCACAAAAAGGAAACCAACTATACCACACCTATCGACATCTTTATCAAGGTAGTGTCTTACTCAGAAGTAACGTTTAAAAAGTGGGCAGTGCGGGTCACAACTTAAAGCAACTTAACCCGGGAAGTAAACCAAGAGAATCTTTCCAAAAAGACTGTAGAGAGTAAAAGGAAAACAAATTTGTTAAAATAAGCCAAGTTCTAAGCCACGGGTGTCAAATGTACCCACTTATGCCTTAACCAAGCTATAATTATATTGACATATTGTAACCACAGATAAGCACACAACTTAACTATCTAATATCAGAGCCAATAGTGGGTATATTTGAAGACAAGGAGTATTTAATATACTTTCACAAGATTAAAGAATGCCATCAATGCAGATAGTTTTTATGACAAATACATTTAATATAAATGAACTGGTAATACATAATAAATATGTTTGTCCCCTTAAAGTATGTTATAAAATGTAATCCATACACTGTACTGGCACAATGACTACATTAATGCCTCAGGTTGTATTCCTGGCCATTTATATCCATCACCAAATTCAAAACAAGACAACTACAAACACACACAAGTATTTATTTTATTGAGTTGATTGAGCCCTCCTAGAAAAGCATTTGCCACAGATAATTTGTGTCAGAATTTCCTAATGGCTGTCTGACCATCATTGGTTGATGTCGAATTGCAAAATGTAAAAGAATGAAGTTTATCAGAAATGGCACGGTTTTCATTTGCAAGGCTGCAGAGGTAGTATCTACTCCCCAAATCACTTTATTAAGATGAAATCAGTTTAGATGAAGTGATTTCTGTATGTATAGTGTCCCTTTGACTTCATATATCTTTGTTCTGATGGCCACAACAAAAAAATCTCTACATTTGCTTGTAATTGCACAATCTTAAGGCGTAGATGAAATGTGTCATTTTTTGGGGGGAAAAGTTGCACTTTAAACACTAAAAAAAGAAGTGCATCATATCATAAAATTTAGATAAATATATGTAAGATTACAGCTTTGAAAACTGAAAAGTTTATTTTTTGTCTGATAGGTTCACATACCTTAAATTAAAATATTAAGTAAAAACCCTCCATATATAGTGGAACTCTTAATGAGAGGGACAAGTCAGCATTAAGGGAAATCGACACATAGGAAAACAAAATTACACAACATAATAGCAAACATGACCCATTTTAGACTGCAACAGTGCTCATTTGTTTCAGCCTTTATTGTATAGTTGTATAGACCTGAATTCTAACCCCTTACATTAATAAAGCCAGGTGCAATCATGTTTTTTAGCATGTGAAGAAGCATATGTATATATTGGGGTTATATGTCTACAAAAACCATATAAGATCCTCTAATATGCACACAAACATGCTAAAAATGTATTTTGAAGTATCCAGAGTAGGAGTCTGGAGTCAAGATCATCAATTTTGGATTACAAGGAATTACAAGTTTTCTGAACGAATTTTATTTATGTAAATTCCCACAATAAAAGGAGGAAATCCTGTCAGACAAATTGTAATCAGAGATTAGATGTAAGCTTGTTAAAGCGCTGTCTCCCTGTAGACTGTCAGCTGAGCAGACTCCATATTCCTTTTCAAAACCACCCCCAAGACCACTTGAATGAATACATTTACTACTTGTCTTTAGCCATGAATATTTGATGAACTTTCACAATAGCATATTACTGCTTCTCACCAGGCAATAAAACGTAATGAATTGGTCTTAACTTAACAAAAACCGTGTCCCCTCAATACAGTCCCCTAAAAGCCTAGCAGTGCATTCAACAAAATGAGCTTGCAATCTATTCAGTTACTTTCTTTCCTGTGCATGGGAGGGCATTTAAACAATAAAACCAGGTTTGTCCTCAATGGATTCTGCAGTGAGTTCACCTAGAATGTTTGTATTGTATCTATTTCTACAAGGACTCACAGAAGAACACTTTGTGTTAACTTACTAAGCAACCCTTTCACACCGTTTACATGCACGATGAGTATTAGTTCAAAACCAAGACTCTTGCTACTTGGCATTCAAAACAGGGAAATTAAGATGCTTAGGACAAAATACTCTACAAAAGGCTAATACAACTTGCTACTAATTCCTGTTCTTTCAAGCATTATCCCTCTAGTTAAAGCTATGCACCTGCAGATGAATGGCACTTAAATCGACATTCAGCTACTCGTGTAGGTTATGGAAGGAGCGTTGGAAAGAAAAAGAAAAGAAAAAACAAATGTACGCAGCTTTTTTTCTGTTCGTAGTATATTATATTCTGGCTGCCTTTGCTAGCTCAATAATAAAATCAACAGATCACTAACCATTGACCCCTCTAGTTTTTAAATGTACTGGAACATTTGGAAGGGTATTCATGACTTTTTTTTTATTTTTAATTCTTTACTGTGATTTAAAAGATGAACTGATATTATATGAGGCTACTGATGAATGTCCATTTATATTCTTAATACAAGGGCCCTCAAAATATTTACTTATTATTCCAATGCTATGATATAGGTATAGATCTAATGCATCAGGAAATTTAGTTTTGATTGTTTTGTGAGCAACGGAAATAATGTTTTGACTTCATTTAAGCGTTTATCCTGCAGCGAAAATGACGGGAATAACTTGTACAACATTTGAAAATATTCAGGTAAAGAGAGTTCACTTGACACAGTAATGACAGGGAAAAACATCGGACTAATTTGTTTTGAAAATTACATTGAAAGTGCAGCTGTTTTGCAAAACTGCCATACTTGTGCTTCATAAACAATACAATTTTGATGTATTTTGGGCTAGACAAACTAGCAGCAAATGTGTAGATACAATTTTATGTTGTTGAAACTGCAAGTTTGCACTTCAATGCCAACAGCAATGTGGTGAAATCTACAGCAATTCTGGCGCAGTGAGAGGCATTAGCTCACTTAAAGGATCACAGAACAAAGTGAGAAATCACTGCAATTGGCTGAGCATCATGGGTAGACTAGCACACCAAAAATGTAAACCCACAAGTTAGTTATGACTGCCTCTACAGCTACTCTAAGTTTATTAGATATTTTATTCAGTGTCACTAAGGATGATAACGGTTACATAGATATTATGGTGCTATCAGATGGCACTATACCCTTGTACTGTGCCAAAACGTTTTTGACAGCAGTAACAATACAGGGAGCACAAACAGTGCGTGTAGTGGTTATGATGCTTAGAGTTTCCCTTAAATACTGCTCATGCAACTTCATTCTGGTTGTGGTGCCCCTTAAACAAACACTATAACACTATGAATACAAATGTGTATTCGTAATAATAGTCTTAATCTAGTTATAGTAGTTTCCACGCTGCAGTGTGAGGTCTCCTTGGCAGATATCATTGAGATCAATAATCTCAGCTAAAGCAGTGGCTTTCGCATTGACTAGCTGTCAATATGACAGCCACTAGAGGTATATAAACCTCTAAGCATTCCCGTAGAAGGGCAATGTTTTTCACTTGCCGGGCTAAAAAGGAGGGGCATAGCGTTCAGACCACTTCATTGAGATAAAGCGGTCTAGGTGCCTATAGTGTTCCTTTAAGACAGTGGTGATGTAGGTATAGCAGATATTTGTAAACTGCATTTCAAGTTATCATGTTCACAAAATTTAAAGGGACACGCATCACTTGACAATTATTTTTTTTAAACAGTAAGCAAACACTTAAACAAAAATTAAGCAAAAAATACTTTCAGAATAAACATTTATAAACTTACTATAAAGTTGGTCAGATTGAATTGTTGGACATGCCTCTCAGCTAGGGAAGTTTCCTTCATGCTTCCCCACCATTCCCCACCCAGTTTCAGATTTGTTCACTATAGTTACTAGCAAGCATCATTGTGTAGCAGCATGAGAGTGACAACAGACACCAGGGCCTCCTCTGCATGATCACACTGATCAAACTCCATCTCTTCTCCCCCTGTTAGGATGTTGCAAGGTGAAGAAATCTTGTAACTGCAGATTTTATATGTCATGCATTCCCAGGGCACTTTTCCAACATTCCTAGGAATAGGACACAGATTGGTTAAATCAGTGTCCACCCTGGAGTGTGTGTGGAAAGCATAAGAAAGACGAAGCAGGTAAATACGGGGAATAAAATCCTATTTACCTGTATGTCCCTTTAAGAATGTAATTGGGTGACTCCATTTTAGCTCAGTGTCAGTCACTGTTATAAGCCCTGTAATTTGTGCCTGGCAGTCATGGAGAAAGCATACAGAGAAGAGGAAAATCAAACAATGAATCTTTCACTACTGTTGATTTGTAATGTTTGCCCTGACTTTGCCTTGGTTGAATTGGATGTTGATGTAAATTTGATACATTTTAATATAAATGAAATCAAAGCATCTTTGGGGGAAAAATGGTTAAAGGGACACTGTAGTCACAATAAGCATTTCATCTCTTTGAATTGATTATAGTGCCTGGAGTACCCTGGCACTATCCCTCCATTCAGTGTTGCACCATGTTCGTGCAGTATGCCACAAAATAAGAGTCCCTGGCCACCCACAGTCTGGCCCCTTCAGTATGTGTAGCTAAGGCAGAGATTACACACTTCCTTGTTGTCATACCCATTCATACCGTCAGTTGGAACTCTGACAGGTTAAAAGCAGTCAGCTGACACTCTCAGCCAATTACAGCTGCCCATTGCTGCTTGGGCTAATACTTCCTTATTACCCAAAGCAGCACAGAGGGGATGGATTGCCGGGGAACTCATGTTTAGCATTAGACATTAAAACTTTAAAAACTGTTTAATGCTGATAGAAATGATGGGACCAGTGGACTCCTGACACTATAACCAGTTTAATGAGATGAAGCAGATACAGTGCCTATTGTGTCCCTTTAACAATCTACAGGTCTATTTTGTTATAAATTACAGGTAAGTGAGAATTCCTCTTCAAAAGATGGTCTATAATTGCAAGGGCAGCTCAATTTAAAGGAATATGCCATGCACCTGAACAACATACAACAGACTACATGATTAAATAAAACTGAATTTTCCAAGTTGTCTTTGACCATACTGATCTTTTTTGTTCTGAAAAACTCTGGTTCATGTTGTTCACTAGTGTCTGCTCATACCGTTGCTATTTCTTGACAACAATTTGAACTGCACAATAAAATGTCCTATTTAAGTATGTATATCTTGCTTGAAATGCCTATTAAAGTTCACCTGTCTACCACAACCATACTTTTCCTCAAAACAGGAATTCTGAAACCAGATATGTGGTTACTTTCTCGGCACATAAAGAAATACAATCAGAAAAGTATGATAAATCCAATATGTAGAATCAATGTAAAATACCACACAGATTCAGAGATTTTACACTGCAAGATGTGACTTTTCTTTTTTTAAGGAAATCACTGAATCATTGGATCATCTGGAGACCTGATGGTACCCTCTCTCAGCTGGGGATACAATTAATGGCAGACGAGCTATGCACATGGCCCTTTAAAATCACTGTTCCTGAGTAATCAGGTTCAGCCATCGTGATTCTGAGTGTGCCACCATGATGAGGGAGACCCCCAGGGTCTGAAAGGGGGTCTCTACATGTCCCTGTGTGCAGTAAACGGTGCTGGGTTTTGCCAGCTGCCCAGCACTGATCATAGTTTCAGGAACTGCAGCATGAGAAGTAAATATCCCTCTAATGCTGCAATCACACAGTACAAAGTGCCCACAGAGTGCTCTGTACTGTGCTAACTTCAGGAAAAAAAAAAAAAAATCTGAAGTGGGATTAGCAGCAGTAATAGGGAAGAAGGTATACATGTGTGGTATCAATGAACTCAAGAACATAACAAAATAGAAATTTTGTTGGCACAAAATTAGTTGGCACTTGTGGTCTGTGAATTCCCCCCCACCCCCCCCAAAAAAAAAAAAATGATTCCTTATAAAATGGTTAAAGGAAAGGTGTCAAAAATGCTCTTTAAAAACCCAGGGGAACATATGCTTTTGTGTAGCGGTTTTGGACTCTGCGACTAATATAAAAGTTGTAATCTTAGCATGACGGATTTTCCAACGCTTTAAAAATCGTAATTCACTCCGTGAAAATATTTATTTTATAACATCTACAAATGAATTGAAATCCTATATATATTGGGCATTTTAACAATAAAGAAAAACTATAGTGCTAGGAAAAAGCTGTTTTCCTACCACTTTAGCCCCCCTCATCACGTACCTGATTCCAGCATCGATGTCCCTCAGCGCTGGTTCAGGCTCTGCCCCTCCTAAGTCAACCAGTGGGGGACACCTAATGCGCAGCGAGGGCTGCCCCCGCATTAGGACTTACCCTATAGGAAAGCATTATATAATGCTTTCCTATGGGGTTTAGTGTGACGCTGGGTGTCCTCACGCAGAGTGTGAAGAAGTCCAGTGTCAGGTGACCAAAAGTCGCCTACCCACCTGAAAGTCCCTCCAGTGGCTGTCTGAACGAGAGGTGCAGTTAATAAAACAGGGGGCGGGCCTGGCTGCTAAGCTGAATGGTCACACGTGAAGTGAGCTCTGTGTGAGAACCTCCTAAAGTGCTTTAATCTTGATTATTTCCTAGCAAAAATCTGGCAATCCACAAGCTGGAGATTACCTACCACCAAGTCAGCTTCACTCTGAAGTTTCCTGCTTTCTGACAAAGAATCTGAGCCCAAACAGTTATTGCGGCCTACCTGCCTGTGGGGGTTATCCCAGCACCAGCACACGAGCCCAATTTACCGATTCCTGGTGGACTTGTTACCAGTCACATACTACTGCGACTAGATTTCTGCCTCCCCTTGCTTGCTCCAATACGGCGTACGCCGGGCCCTCTACCACGCCATGTGGCCTAATGGAGACGGTTCACACAAGGCTGGATGCCAATTTTGAGGACTTCTGGCACAAAATTGAGAAAAGGCTGAGGAGTGCTGAGCAGCAGTGTTACTCACCTGTCAAGGCTCCGCAGTCTGTGCCAGTCTCCTTGCGGCGAACCGAGATCATGACCATGCAGCGGAAGAAACCCAGACCACTCACCACAAGCTTATGGCCCAAGCCGTCCAGATCCCGTATGCGTGATCCAAGGCTGAGGGGAGAGAACACAGAGCGCATCCCACACCTTCAGAGGCTGCAATACCGACACTACTACGAGATCACAATCCTCCGAGAGCTTGTTAATGGTACCAGAAGTTACCGGTTCAGGGGGATTGCCCTTGGGCTCTTACTGCAGTCTGGGGCTGGCAGGGGAGATGACACTGTATCACTGGGACTCAGACTTTGTATGTGACTTGTGTAGGAAGCGAGGGTATCAGGTGAACCTTACCAGCTTTGAAGCATGAAGCACACACTATTTTAACTCCCAGTGTGCACCCTCTGCTGTGTATTAAATAAATCAATACCAATTTTCCCTCCTATGATAATGGGGAGCAATCAGTTGGACTGATGTTTACATTTGAGTAGCTGGGTATCAACTTTATGTTAATCTATCTTTTGTTTCAATAACAAAAAAACTTTTTTGAAGAGAATGGTAGCACACACCTACTGTATTGTCATGTTTACATTAACCATAATTCATTCTTGTTTCTGTAATGTACCTTGAGACGCCTCAAAATAAAACAAACATACACAATGGGAAAAACCAACCACCATATTTTTAACAGTAAACAAAGTCATTAAATTTACAGCCAGGGGTACATAAATAGAATCAGATATTACAAATAAAATAAATACAAAAATTGCTGGATAAAAAGACTTTCAGCAAATAATACAAACACATTGGTAGAGAACATGCACTCAAAAAAAACTATTTTGTATGTATATCTACACACCATACACCTGATACCATTTTCATCAGACTTTAACAGAAGTCTTCTTTTTAAGACTTATTATGCCTACATTCTTGGTTTGCGCATGTCTAATTCATAGCACACTATGAATTCCAGTCAAATTGTGGTTGTCAGTTTTGGATAATGTTACATTGGAAGTATCTTTATTGACAGATGTATGTGAAAATGACACAGTTTTGTTCACTGGTTGCAACGTTTTGATGATGGACAGAGGAGACAAGTGGTGCAGGGAAAGAGAAGCCAAGTTCAGAGAGGAAATTGGGGGGGGGGGGCAAGGAGGGCAGGGGAGGAATGACACAATTGAAAAAATATGTACGTTTTAAAATATCTTTTGCTAGTGCTGACACACAGCATTCATTGATTATTTTATATATTTATAAGTTTCAATGTTACATTAAATATATATTACATATTCTTTATTAACTAAAAGTTTTTAATTAAATTATACACATGAAAAATCACAGTGAGAAGGCGCTGACGAAAGCATTGAAAAATGCTTTCCTATGGACTGTTTGAATGCGTGCGCGGCTCTTGGTGCGCATGTGCATTCAAAGCTGACGTCGGGAGAGGTAGGAGAGTTCAACAGCACCGAGGTGCTGGAGAAAGGTAAGTGTTTAACCCCTTCAGCCCGGCAGGAGGGGTACCTAAAGACCCTATAGTGCCAGGAAAACAAGTGCACTATAGTCGTCCTCTAAGTTACAAAGCAAGGTAGGACAACTAACATTTCTATAATGTAACAAAAAATAAATACTTAGAAAAAAAATAAAAAATATCCCCCCCAAAAAAGTATACAGAATCTAATCCCACTAAGAAAACTACAATCTGATGTAGCATAGGCCACACTTTAACAGGAAAAAAAAAACCACAAGTAAAATGATCTTTTGAAATTCCATTGGATTTAAATATATACAAAGATATTTTTCCCTAAGCTTAATCTTTTCAAACTGACCACGCAAAACTCAACATACATATACACACACACACATATATGCACACACACACACACATATACACATACACACACATTTGGGTGGAAAAAATGGCAACCTGCAACACAAAAGTTTTAAAAAAAATATTAAAATAAGATAATATATCTTTACTTTTTACTAGTTCATTAGAAAGACGGCATTGTATTTAATCAAACAACCAAAACAATGGCAAGTTAATTACAATGATGCATTATTGCGCAGAGAGTAAGCGTTACCTGTACAGAATCAAACTTATCGTTCACTTTAGATTTGTATAGGACACGGAACATGGTCGAGAGGCTCCCAGCACTGTAGTACAACTGTATCTGCAAACCTTTGTATCCAAACGCTACCTCACTGAAGAAACAGAAAACTAAACTGAGAAAACGGACGGAATCATTTCCAGTATCTTAAATTTCCAATGGGGAAAAACAAAAAACAACACTACAAACAATAATTAAAAACCAATAAAAACAGTGTTGTATGATGGTCACTGGTACACAATTAGATGAAACATAATGGTTAAATGAATGTACTCATGAATAGTAACTATAATAAGGCATTTTGATACATGCTTTTATTTTCAATGCTATTGATGCATTTACAGTGGTGAGGTGCACCGCCGAGAAACGTATAAAACACTCTTCCATCTGCAGTGCTTTATAACCCTAAGACAAGTCATGCGCTCCCTCAACCCGACTTCTCTTTCCCACAGTAAGTACAGAATAAAAAACTAGAGTGATTTACATTAGATGTTAGGCTGTGCTTTAAAAGCCTCACATATGATGTCAACTGGAATAAAATCGCAAGATATTTGGTCCCACTCAGTGTTTTGTTTTTTTATTATTAGATCATCTATTACTTTTTCCATATTTAAATATTGGTTCCACTTTAGTATTTTCATTAAAAAAATAAAATTAAACAAAATCACAGGTGCTATTACCTATGCTTTAATTTTATACTCTCCCTGTGCTTCAATAAGGTATTTAGGGACAGATGACATGTCATGATTCCCTTTTATTCCAGAAATGTGGTCCTTAAGGGGTTAAGATCACTCACTCCCCCCAACAAAAAAACAAACAAACCAAAAAAACAAAACAAACAAACACACAACAAAACTGGTGCAATTTGTAAGGAAAAAAAACAAAAAAACAATACCCATAGATAATTTCTAGTAAGCAACAGAGTTGTACAAGTATTTCAAAATTAACGGTTCCTCTATCTATACAGGATTTTATTGTCAGTACTGTTACTTACTCATCTCCAAAAAGCTGGTGGCTATATTCTGGGTTAAAAGTCATACTCTCATCTTCTATATCTTCTTGGAATCGCACTAAATAAAAACATTACATAAATGATAACATATACATACAAATGGTGAGAGATCCATTTGAGTATCACATGGAAAGCATTGGAAACCAAATTATAAAAATTGCCAAGGAAGTGTTTATCAGAGAGGGCGACATTGAAAATTGTGAATGAAACATGTTAAAAGCAGCTGTTGACAAGCTTTAACTATAGCAAATATGCAGATGAAAATTAGCAAAGGTATGTCACTGAATTAAAGGGACAGTCCACTGCTCAACTACAAAATAACTAAAAATCAATGTTTAATAGATATACCCCAAATTAAAACTTACATGATTTTTATTAAGCATTTTTTCATTGTGGATATATCTAATTTCAGCTTCTCTTGTCTGCTGCATTTGCCAGCTCTCCCCTTCTAACCCAGCCCAGACTTTCTGTGGTTGTCCAATCACAGACTTCCCAATGCAGCTCTATGAGAAGTTTTTGCAAGGTAGGTGATCTGGGCAATTGCTTCCTCTTGTGTTTAACAATTAGGTAAATTACCAGAAAGTAACAGAACTAGTTATCTGCTTGAAAGACAGTTAAAAGGAACACTATAGTCACCAGAAGAACTACAGCTTTTCTGGTCTGTATAGTAATGCCCTGCAGGCCTTTTAATTTAAACACAGCCTTTTCAGAGGAAAGGCAGTGTTTACATTACTGCCTAGAATCATCTCTAGTGGCATTTACTCAGACAGCTACCTTGGTCAGTGCTGCAACTACATTCAGCGTCTCCACATTCTGCATGGAGACACTTGGTCCTTCTTGAGACAAAGGAATAAAACTTTCTGATACACATTTACACTATGACCCATGAGTGCTCATACTTGACCTACCGACCAAACATTGAGATAGAATATATAATATTTTTCTTTTTTTAAGTTTAATGCCAGGGGCCTGTATTTATAGGAAGAGTTAAGAGTTCCTATATACTCCCCTTACCTGTGCCATACCATACAGGTCATCCCACCCAACTCACCCTCCTCCTTTGAATTTATTTTATATCCTGGTCAGCCCTCTTATTTACAGGCCTACCCATACGTCTGTTTCGGCACACCACTACCGACTATTACCATCACCGGTGTTATCACACGGCTTTTATGTTGCCGACCACACATATATATTATCTATGTGAACGTTCGGTCAGTTTTGTACTCCAGCCCCCAGATGTTGATCTACATCTCCCAAAATTCTTTGAATTCAACAGACAAGCAGAAAATTTTGGGAATTATAGTACATCATCATCTGGGGTAAAAGCGTACTTGATTAGAAACACCAGAAATATTGTGCTTGCCCACAGAAAACCATGTTATAGGTTTATCTCTGATTAAAGGATCACTCCGGGCACCATGACAACTTAATTTAAATGACGTAGATATGGGGCCCAAAAGGTTATTCGGGACTTTCTTGTCTGAAGGGGTTAAACCATTCTTGAATGATTTAACCCCAACGGTAGGCCCCAATGCCAGATCTCCAGTTAGCCCAAAGTCAATAAGTAGCTCCCCATCCATAAAAAATATATAAAAATTAATACTTTTTTTACGGTACGTAACTTTCTAGATCTATCACAAGACAACAGAAGTAGCAGTGAAGCTATTCATTTAGTGAATATGTCAATTCACTTATTTTATGTGAATGTAACTAGAATGTACTTTTGCAGCTTCTCTCATTAACATCTATGAGGAAGTCTGTAAGATGATGTGAGTGCATATGCCATAAGTGTGTGCATAGAAATATAGTGAACCACAGCTTTCCAATATGACATTTATGAGCGGGGTGGTTGGCTCATTGCAGCCACGTTTTTGGAAATTACTGCATTTATGATAGATATCATGAAGAAGAAAGGCAAATGGCCAAAGCAGTGGTTAGGTGAAGGAAGCAAACAAAACTAAACTTTATAAAAACGAAAGGCAGGTAAGGGGGACAAAATAAAAAATATAGGGCTAGGACATATTAACGATCACACAACAGAGCTAAACCTGGATTGTTTTCATTTAAAAAAAAAAAAAAAATTAAGGCAACACACCTAACTTTAGTTTAATCGCTTCATTTGTGTTACATTTGTACTCCGCCAACTTCTTTTCCATAGCAGTGAGACCTAATGGGAAAAAAAAAAAAAAATTAAAGTGATTTATATATACGATCAGTTTCAATACAAATATGTATTCCTGACTCTAGTGTTTCTTTTGTAAATATGTTTTTTATTATGTGCAATTTTTGGTACAAACTTAACGATGAGACTCGCAGGTCTCTTCAATTCCATTGCAGCTATGAATTGGTAACATAGACAAAGTGAACTTTGACAGGGTATCATGTGTAAAGTAGGCATTTTGGTTCGCAGGCCCAGGTAATTGTTGGACTCGCAGGTCCTTATTAATTTTAGTAATCAAATGTGGGGACGTTTCTCCCCTGTGCTATGATTCATACATGTTAACTTCGGTAATGGTATTATTCCAGTTTTCTGGACATTGTATTCTCTGCTGGGTGATACAATTAATCTAATGTCGTGTTTTGTTCGAAACCGTGGGCCTGTATTTCCAACCCCTTGCTATATTTCGGTGGTTAACTCTAATTCTATGTGTAGTCATCCTAACCTGGTATCTGAGGCCGCTTCAAGTGAAGATTGTGGCGTTCACCTATTGGTATCGTGTTAGACTCTATAGTGTTAAAACCTCCATCTATCCCCCCTAAATATAGCACAATTTTACTTTTACTCCAGTCTGCTGCTGATGGCTCTGCCCCTGATCTGCCAGCCTGATATCATCAGAAGTGATTATCTCAGCCAATCACAATGCTTTACCATAGGAAGGAAATTGATTGGCTGAGACTTAAGAAGGCAGAGGAGGGCCAGACTGGGAATTAAAAGCAGCCCTGGAAAAAAAATATTTACCAGCCCCATAATGCGTCGCGCCAGCATAGTGTGCAGATACAGAGTTAGAACAGATAACTTAAAATTAAAAAGTACTTCAACGTAAAAAGCGCACTCATAGGCTTCAAAATAAACACAAGTGCAGATTTATTTTAAGCAGACGTGCCTTTGCATGTAATCAATGTTTCAGTCCAACTACCTTGACATATTAAGGAAAGCTTGTTAATGGGACTGAAATGGTGAATGTATGTAGGGCACAACTGTAAAAAATGTTTATTTTGAAGTCCTGTGGGTGTGCTCTTCACTTTAAATATGTTATTGTGCTGGAGTATGCACCTAGCAACAAGACTGGGCCAACATCTGCTCATTACATATGGTACATATTAATGAAATTTCTCTGTGTATTATGCATTTATAAATGTACATTAACCCCTTAAGGACCAAACTTCTGGAATAAAAGGGAATCATGACATGTCACACATGTCATGTGTCCTTAAGGGGTTAATATGTGTAAATATAGTAGAGATATATATATATATATATATATATATATATATATAATACACACATTAATATACATGTCATATACTAGTGGCGGATTCAGAGCCTGAGCCTGAGAGGGGCACTTGTAGATTATTTAAAGAAATATTCCATGCACAATAACCACTACTCCTCTGTGTAGAGGTTATGGTGCCAGGAGCATCGGCATCCCCTCCCAGAGTAAGTCGTCAAACCGTTTAAGAACAGTTTGACAACTTACCTGGAGTCTGCTGGGATATGGAGCTGTAGTAGGGTATAGGAGCAGTGGTGCAATGTGTGTGAAAGGTTCAGTGTGTGGGTGGGCAGTGTGCAAATGTGTATGGTGTGTGTGTGTGTGTGGGGGCAGTGTGTGAATGTGTATGTGTGGGGCTAGACTTCACTCCTACTACTGGGACCACCAGGAAGTGGTGAGAGTGAACTCTAGCCGTAGCTCCAGGGCTAGAGTTCACCCTCGTGAGAGCCGGAGCGTTGCCCCAGGTCCTCTCTTCCTCCCCTGCCGACTGGCTGCACGGTGCCTGTGGAACGGGGAGGGAGATCGGCCGGCAGGGGAAAGCCTTTAGTGATATATACTGCCCCTATGTGTGTCTCTTTATCTCCAGCCCCTCTGTGTGCCTTTGTCTCCCCCAGTCACTCTGTATGTTTCTTTCTCCCCCTCACTGCTCCTCTGTGTCAATGTCTCCCCTCTCCCTCCCAGTCTCTCTCTTCCCCCTCTGCCTCTTTCTTCCTCTCCCCTTGTGTGTGTCTCTCTCATTTCTCCCTCTTTGTCTCTCTCTTCCCCCTCTGCCTCTTTCACCCCCTTTCCCTGTGTCTCTCCCTCCTCCCCATCTCTCTTCCTCCCCCCTTTCCCTGTGTCTCTCCCTACAACCCATCTCTCTTCCTCCTCCCTTTCCCTGTGTCTCTCCCCTCCCCCATCTCTCTCCCTCCCCCTTTCCTGTGTCTGCCCCCCTTTCCCTGTGTCTCTCCCCATCTCTCTCCTCCCCCCTTTCCCTGTGTCTATCCCTACTCCCTGTGTCTCCCTCCTCCCCATCTCTCCCCTTACCTGGAGAAGTCAGGGGGCCGACCGCATTCCTGGCTGGAGCCGCCGGGCGGCAACTTCCCCGGTCCGGCGGCCCTGCTCCTGTCACTGCTGTGGCTGATGGAGGAGGAGCATGTCTCTGTGCCGGGAACCGCGAGGGAGCATGGTACAGAGACATGCTCCTCCTCCATCAGCCACAGCAGTGACAGGAGCAGCGCCGCCGGACCGGGGAAGCTGCCACCCAGCCCGGCGGCTCCAGCCAGGAACGCGGTCGGCCCCTAAGTGCCGCGGCCCACCGGGAAATTTCCCGGTATCCCGGTGGGCCAGTCCGGCCCTGGGGCAGTGCCAGCACAAGCCAAACAGCATCTCCTTATAGAGATGCACTGAATCAATGAATCTCTATGAGGAAAGTTCAGTGTCTACATGCAGAGGGTGGAGACACCGACTGTCAGAGCTGCACAGTGTGCAGAACTGCCCCAGGAATAACCTATCTGAGTGGCCACCAGTGGAGGTATTACTAGGTTGTAATGTAAATACTGCCTTATCTCTGAAAATACAATGTTTACTGCAAAAAGCATTAAGGGAATGATTATTCTCACCAGAACACAAACAATAAGATGTAGTTGTTCTAGTGACTATAGTGTCCCTTTAATTATGCTGATCATCATAATCTTCCAAAACCAAGGGATCTCTCTTGCACCCTAGTGATAATCTAAAGGGAACTCTCGAGTCATAATTAAATAATCTCAGAAGTCAACTGTATTTGATGAGGATATTTAATAATACAGGTACTTAAAGGGACACTATAGTCACCCAGGCCACTTCAGCTCAATGAAGTGGTCTGAATGCCAGGTCCCTCAGGTTTTAACCCTTCAGATATAAACATAGTTTCAGAGAAACTGCTATGTTTACATTTGGGGTTAATCCAGCCTCTAGTGGTGGTCTTCCGGAAGGCCACGAGAGGCGCATCTCCGACGCTGGAGGCGAATTTCGCCTCCATCACGCAGAGCGTCCATAGGAAAGCATTAAGAAATGCTTTCCTATGGACACTTCGAATGCGCATGCGGCACTTGCCGCACATTCGACTCCAGTGACGTCGGCGGGGGAGGAGAGGTCACCAGCGCCGGATTAAGGTAAGTTGCTGAAGGGGTTTTAACCCATTCAGTGCCATGGGAGGGGGACCCTGAGGGAACTATATTGTCAGGAAAACCGCTTTGTTTTCCTGACACTATAGTGATCCTTTAATACTAGTGGCATTTGGTTATTACATCACTGCATTTTGCTGCACAGATGCACTATGTGGGGTTGTGTGCATGTATGTGGATTGTTAGCGGGTTACGTTTGTGCAGATTGTGTGTTGTGTTTGTGTGTGGGCTGTTTGTATTATTTGTATGAGTGGAGGGTTATTCTACATTTCTGTGTTTATCTAGCAGTGTGGGTGGCTTCCCTGGGTTCCAGTGGGGACCAGGCACAGGTCAAAGACAGGAGCTGCAACAGCAGCTGCGGGCCGCTCTACTACAGTGTGGATTCCCATTCACAAGTGCTGGAATGAAGTGATCTGAGATTACTTCCTCTACGTGCTGCAATGCATAAATTGAGGATTGGTCCTTCACCACCTTTTCGTATTGGCAGATATCCTAAGTTTTACTGAAACTCATGATAGGCCAGAGCCTGTTTGGCTCTAGCAGCCTTGAGTGCCGTGCATGGCACTAATGCCGTAGGTTGCCCACTCCTGATCTAGGATTAACCCTGCCTGCTGTAAACATAGCAGTTTCAGAGAAACTGCTATGTTTACAATAGGGTTAATCCAGCCTCTAGTGGCTGTCTCATTGACAGCCGCTAGTGGCACTTCCGCGCTTCTCACTGATTTCCACAGTGAGAAGACGCCAGCGTCCATAGGAAAGCATTGAGAATGCTTTCCTATGAGACTGGCTGAATGCGTGCGCATGCGCTTTCAGCCAATGACGTCGGAAGGAGGAGAGTCCCCAGCGCCGAGGGAGCCCGGCGCTGGAGAAAGGGGAACGTTTAACCCCCTTCCTCCCCCTTCAGCACTATAGTGCCAGGAAAACGAGTTTGTTTTCCTGGCTCTGTCATTCCCCCTCCATGAGCCTCCCATAAAGAATACATCTTTATAAAATGCACTGCTGCAAGCAGCCATGTTTCCATCTATGATCATTGCAAAATATGCAAAGACCCCAGGTGGTGACAATCACTTTAAGTCCAATTCTCTTTATTTATTTTTTAATTTGGGAAGAGTCTCACAAAGTAATTTTACAGACTTTATATTGTTCATTGAGTTAATCTGAGCTATTTTTCCCCATTTAGAGGATGGGGGGAGGGGGGTACCAGAGTGATGTAAATGTCATTATATTGTGTTCCTGTCAGTTACAATCACAGGTCAGTACAATGGGAGCTGCTGTGAGCAGTGCACTCCAGATGTTTTGGACTACACCTCCCATGATGCTTTGCCAGCATTATGGGTGTAAGAGCATTCTGGGGGATGTAGTCCACATCTGGAGTGCCAAAGGTTGCCTATCCCGGGCCTAGTTACTCTCAGCCACTGATGGTCCCCATTAGATGCTGGGCTTGGCTTTTGGCGGGAGATCAGCACCAGATGTTCAGACTATGAGGGAGCCATTCCCCCCCAGACCCTTATTCCCCCTCTCTCCCCTCATGACAAAGCAGACTCTGTCAGCCTGGCTCCCAGGCGGCCAGCTTTATCAGATCAGACTTTATAACCGTATAATGCCTCCTTCACCAACTTACCCGCCATGTCTGGTCATCTGCTGGAGCGTCAACCAGGCAGAACGAATCAAACCGCGCGTTCAGACAGCCGCTCTAAACACTAGAGATAGCCTGCGCCGCTTCAGCCGCGCTCCGTGAGCGTGCGCGAAGTGTTAGCGCAGCGGCCATTTTGCCGTAGACCAAAAATGCACTGGCAGCTAACGCAAATGGCTCCAGGCTATTGGCTCCTGAGACGAAGACAGTAGCAGAGCGTGGAGGCTGCATTTAATCTCTTGTGATTGGACCTCCGTGGCTCATTCGCGTTGTTGACGTATTTCCGGTTTTCTAAGCAAAGCATGCATGGCTGTTTACAAACCAAGTTAACACCCCCTGGCTAGCAGGTGGAGAGGGCCATTAGAATGGCATCAGAGTAGTCATTCCTGGGGGGAGGTAGATGGGTCTAAATAATGCATGGCAGTGAGCTGAACATTATATTGTGAAATATAGGGATAAACTAAAGTGTGAATTGTTAAGAATTTAAAGTTAAAGGGATAACTCCTTAAAACCTGTATTTCTAGCACTATACTGCCCTGGCTGCATAAAGGTTAATAAACCATTGCTGTACTTACCTGGTCTCCCTTGGCGCTGCACCCCCTCCAATGTCACCCAATTGCAGCAGTGCTTCCTATGGTGATTTTACGTACTGGCGCTGGATGTCCTCATGCAGAGCGTGAGGACGTACAGCGCCAGGCGACCAAAAGTCCGTTAGGACTCAGGAATTGCCTCTAGTGTGCTGAAGTGGTGTGGGTGCCGATAGTGTCGCCTTAAATTTCAATTTTGAGACCAAAGTAGCTCAAATTAAAACAATTGAATAACTGGTGAATTTTTCGCAACATGTTAAATTGGCCTAAAATTTGAAATTCGCTAGACAACACGTTTTGGGTTATTCGCTAAACGGAGAATTGTGGGGATTTCAACTATGACCAAATTTGAAAACCAAAATTGCTGGACTGAAAGATTAGTTGACTTGGATAATTTTTCCATTTCTGCTATTTTGGTCTTATAGCGTCAGTCCAAGCACCATGACGTTTGATGCATTCATGGTGCCTAGAGTCTAGTATGCACAGCGTTTCACTATTATACTGAATTTAACACCTTTGGTGCCAGAGGTTGTAACTTTAACTCCAGCAAAAGTAATAACCAGTCCATGTTTATTCTGTGCAAATTTTCATGCACAGTGTGCCTTTCAGTAGCTGAGAGCAATGAAATGACGCATAGTTTTTAAAATGGGACTAGGATTACTTTTTCATTTAGGAATTCAGAAGGTTTTTTTGAAAAAGAGAAATAACAAAACAAAAATGTTAAATTTACTGATTAAAATAAATAATTCATCAACTCTGCTACAATCACAGTTTTGTTATTTTAGCCTTAATTTAGGCAATTCAGTTTTTATTTCACCACAATTCACTGTTAATCGAAAAGCTGAATTGTGCAAAATGGAAGGCTCACTCATTGCACGTCTTGAGGTATCTCTTTAACCCCTTAAGGACACATGACATATGTGACATGTCATGATTCCCTTTTATTCCAGACGTTTGGTCCTTAAGGGGTTAAAGGAGTTTGACATAAAATAGGTTGCTCTGGGCTGTACCTTGGCTGTTGGCAGAAGTGAATTTCTGTAGTAACAATCCAATTTTGGACTGCAGTGAAAGGGTTTGAGTGCTGTGGAGAGAATACCCCAGTGCTTTACAGTTTATATATTTGACAGTTTGACAACTCAAGGTATTTTACTTGGCTTAGTATGACTTTTTATTGCAGCCTCTATACTGTGTCTTGCTGCCAATGCCAATGTTTGTTGGAACTATTCATTGACCTCTGAATTGTAATTCGATTGGCAAAATGTAGGCACACTAAGTAAACTGTGACTATTTGTGCCTATTTTTTATATTTTTTTTTACATATTTTAGTTGTCTGGTTTACACACACACACACTTTTTTTTACATTATTTTGTGAATTCTGCATACATGGTGGGCGCCAGTATTATCCAATAATATATGCTGGAATAGTGGATGTAGCTTTCTCAGTGGTCAAATATACCCTGAGTTCTAGATATTACTACCCAACTTAAACGGACACTATAAGCACCATAACAAGTATAACCTGCTGTAGTGGTTATGGTGCCAGTTGTCTCCTGTCACTGTCTCACGGTAAGATGTCATATCTTTTTCATGCGGTTTAACAACTTACCTGTGCGACTTTGGGTCTTCTCTAGCTGGCAAAACTTAATGTAATTTTACAGCAAACCAGGTCTGATGAAGGACCACAATCATTAACTTAGAAATCTCAGCTGATACTCTATGTCATAATGTGACATTTGGCTTCTCATGCTGGAGAAGACCAGATGCTTGTGGGTGCCCAGCAGGACCTGTAGTGATTATGGTGTATGAAGTGTTGCTTTAAAGTGTCTCATCACTTCTAAGTATGTTAAGTTCCAGTGCAATTAAAATATAACATTAGAAATAAAAAGGACTATATTGTCTGGTCGGCCAAGCCAATGTTGACAAAAGGAGGAGCTTCCTCTGTAATTTGTTTGTCAATTTGCTGTTGCTGGCAATGCCTCTGAGAAAAGCATCTTTTCGTACATAACTCTAGTAGTTCTTTGTGTTCTACTGTTGCACATGCACGAGAGAACACACATGAGAAGGGACATTGGCTAATGAAGGGCTCCTTTCAGATGAAGCTCCAAGGAGGAGTAAGGAATATGATGGCACCTGCGAAAGAGTACTTCAAGTAAGCATATCTCCTGTGCACTTCTGTATATTGAAAAAAATAATAGAATTAATAGATTGTGGGGCTTTTCCTCCCAGTTAGTGCAGATTGGGATTTCTAGTGATTCCAATAATGATTACAGGAACTCTATAGGGTCAGGAACACAAAAATGTATTCATGACCCTATAGTGTTTAACCCACTATTAGCCCCCTTAAAAGCAATTAAAACTCACCTTATTTCCAACACTGCGCAGGTCTGCTGGGGCTAGCTCTGCCCCCTTGGTGACATCATCAGGATTGTTGATTTTTAGCCAATCCAATGCTTTCCCATGGGGAAAGGAAGCACCTCCATTGTTTGGTGCCTATTCTAGTCTTACATTGACCCTGACCCTGATTGTCCAATTCCACGCTGAGATTCCTATCATCCTCATCAGGCACACAGGGGTCCCAGTCTTCGAACCGCCACCCGTGCCAGCTTATGATGTCACCTCCCGCCACCCGCAGCTTAGACCCAATTCCCTAAACAAGGGGGGAGGGAAGTATGATATAAAGTATATGAATTTTAGTATGAGTGTTAAAGCAGCAGTGTCACCCCCTGCACTGCAAAATAAGTATTTCATAAAGATAGAATCTTTATGAAAGACTTAAATTGACTGTGTTAGAATTTCACTGAAATTCTAACCCTTTTGAAAGATAAACTGAGACAAAGTAGAAACTACTTTGTCTCAGTATTTTCCACTTCTTGAAACTGGTTGGAGCTACCGCTGTCAAGCTTTATCAATCTTCTAGCCGTCACCAGTGACAGCTGCAGGGAAATTAGCTCTATCTCCATAGACCTCAGTGTTGAACTCTTGCACATGCCCTCTTTCTTTGCTGCTCCTTCAGTTAAGTAGAACCTTGTTCCCAAACTGTGGGATCTCTATCTTATCTGTATTAATATTGAGTAATTTTCTGTCAATTAAGTTATTAGTTTTTTGTTATTTACTATTGTTTTCTAATGCCGTGATTTTCATAGTACTGTTGGTTGCCCTATTTGCTTTACCTCAGACTCCTGCTGCTACTCCCTGCCCCTTGGAGCTGCATCAGGGTCTGTCTGACAGTGGGGTTTGTTCCCTTCTTTGTCTGTGCACTCATCACATTTTGGAGCCTTTTTCCTGCTTCCCCGAGTGTTTAAATGCTTCACTACACTGTCCCACCCTTTTCTCCCTTCCCTTTCTAAGACTTTTCAGTCTCTCCCAAACATGCGCACATCCGCACGCCTTCATTCTCCCGCCCGTTCTCAAATTTTGGTTTGACAGGGTGCACACATAAGTACGTTTACCTGTTACTCATTCGGTCGGCCCAAACAAATGCTTGCCGAGACTGTGCATGCACTCGGCCATTCGGCCCAACCAAACGCACCTTCACTTGTGAGTTCATAAGCTTGTTTGTGTATGCAAGTTGTGTGCATGATGTGGCGGAACCAGCCTCGCCACTGGGCATTGGAGAAGACTGATTGCCAGCCTCCTGCCCTGTGACTATGGCCCCATGTTGAAATGCTTGATTTTCCCCTGCAAAGACCCAAAAGCCGGGTCATTCGGTACTTGCCCTATTTGAACAGTGATACCCCAGATAGCTATGCCATGGAGCCCATTCGTATAACGAACGACTATGTGAAAGACTTTGGCTCCATGGCAATTGAACTGTGTGTATGTGATCTGAGCGCCATTCAGTAATAATGTGCGCTCAGATGTAAGCTATCTGGGGATATGTTGAATGTACCTGTTTTATGCAATAGCTGCACAGTTATATATTTTTATGTATTTTATTGTCTTTTGCTACCATGTGTTCAATGTAGTTTTGCCTCTGTCCTTGGAGATAATTGCATTACTTCCCAATTATCTCCAGGATAGAAGACTCTGGAACTGGTTTTGGGCAGAAAAGCCATGTATCATTTGGTCACAAAGGACGTTGATCTAACTTTTGACCCACTGGACCAATTTGTATGATTTTGACGTATGCTGGTATTTGGAGTATGATGATTCTGAAATGTGAATGTGATGCATACTTTTAAAGTTATGAATATTGTGTAAAACTGTGTATTTTCCTGCCTGTGATAATTATATTAACCCATTGTGTAAGGTAATTGTATCACAGGCAGAGGGGAGGATTTTGTGTGGGAGTGTCTGAGTGTATTGTACGTGTTTATTGGTTGTTTTACAAAACCCTGTGGGTGGTACTAATGTGTATATAAGAACATTAAACCCACAGATCTGTCAGTTCTACTTCACCCTCAATTTGGAGTCTCGTCTCTTTTTGGGGGATCTGCTACAAGGGATTGCTATGCTTTGCATATTCCCTTGCAATAATCACTCCTAAGCTCTTGTAAGAGCTTGTTCCTGCTTTGCTCTGAAGGAAGAGAGGTATGGCCTGCGGTGGTTGTGGTGTCTGCTAGAGTGCTTGGAGCCCTCAGGAAGCGC